AGACCAGACCTTCAGGCCCCACAGATGTGGCTGCAGACACTCTGTGTGTATGCCCTATGGCCTTCGGGCTTTGGGTGCCGACACTGTAATAATAATAATAATAATAGTAGGAAATCTTGGTTCTCGGGTTTGCTCATGTCTTCTTGGTCCCGGTATTGTCTGCGTTTTGGCAGCCTGGGAATCCCTAGGTACCGTTAATGTAACTGGGAAATTACAGTCCTCGCTCTGGATCCTGGGATTTCCTGGGCGCTATCGTGCCTGGGTATTCTCGAGTTTACACCCTATGCTAGGATATCTCGGGAGATGCCGACGCTAAGGTTTATCGGGATCACATTGTACTCAGGAATCCTCAGTCGTGGGGGACACCCCAGCTTTTTTTAAAAGACCATCGTGTCCTGAGGAAGCACGGGTCACTGTGCACAGGGCATACTGGGGTCTGCATTTACCTCTTACACTCTCCTTACTGCCTTATTCAAGTAGCTCAGCATCATCATGACAATGCAAAAGGTTCCTCGACAGGGCAGCGGATTCCCGGCACCTGCCGGCATGTGCCGCACATGTGTACACTGGCAAGGACTTGCAGCACCACAGCCATGTAAACAAAACCACACAAGATGCAAGCTGCATATCTGGGACAAATTATACACTGTACAGGCATGTCTCCTCAAACAGCAGTCGGCCACTCTTGACGTCCCGCGCTGCACTCTGGTGCTTGGCCTCCTGCTGCCCTGCACCAGCTGGCGCGGTCATGCTTCCGATGTGTCTGCAATAGACAATCCAGTTTTAGAATGCAAATATTATCACCCGCACCCCTCGGGCATACATAAAAGCAATTGCATCTTCAGCGGGGTCATTCAGGCATGCGGACTTGCAAGAGAGCCCAGCAGTAAGATCAGACAGCATTTGGGCATCTGCCCTTCTGCAGCTGTGCGCAGCGTCCTTCACTGACCAGGACAAGATGCTGAAGGACAACTCGCACAGACACAGCACGGCAATGATAATGTGCCGAGCATATGGCGTGCCTGGGCGGCAGGCCTGGGGGTGATGCGGGGGTGCTGAGGTGTTGATGGTAGGTAGAGAAACTTTGTCGCCTGCACGATGGACCGTACAGCAAGGCCTGCAGCACACGGAAGATCTAAGCACGTCAAAAAACCAACTTCTCTCGATGATCCCAAGGTGAGCGCAGTGCTGTCGAGATGGAAACCATTGCATTCCAGTATTAAGAGATGGGGCATGCATGCATTGGCCTGATCAGAGATGCCAGGTCTTGTGCACAGGGCATCCCATGCATGCTCACAAACAAGTTGAGGTTTGACAAGGAACGCCTTGGGTGAAAACGCTGACGGTGCCTTTAGTGCTGCTCCTTGTAAAAGATGGCAAAGATCTGCATGGTCAGGGAACCCCACTTCCCATGCATGAGCTTGAAATGGTGGCGTGCTATTGCAGCTGCAGAGAGCCCATGTCGTTCAACGCATACTGCCACATCAATTGGCCACATCTCTCCTCACACTTAGCGAGGCCCACCTTGGGTGAAGGCGCTGAAGCTGCGTTCGGTGTTGAGCCACTCGATGTGGTCGAATGCCACAGAGACGCCTGAGCAATCTGTGCTGGGCATGTCTCAGCCCCAGTTCTGCCAAGGGAACGCCGTGCTCCTTGTACAGCAAGCCCAGCACACGCCTGCCACATCAGCGCTGATGTCAGCATGGCCCAGCATGATTTACAATGTTACAGGAGGAGCAGGACCATTATTAGGGCTAAATAATGGTAATGTCTCAGCATAGTAACAGCAGAAAGCTAAGTGGATTGCTGTGACTTATTGAAGACTTATGATCTGCTTCGTGATTGAAGTTGGAGTGTTTTGCCTGCGCTTGCTCCATACCCTCACAATGCAAGCAAAGGAGCAGAAGACATGCAGGGCGAGAGTGGCAGACTGGGAGTGCCGGTCCTGACCTGAGGTGGTCATTGCAGTGATGAGCTCGTGCTGCTGCTGCTGCTGCCAGGAGCGCTTCGTGCAGAAACGGAACTCTGCGGAACTCTATCACCTCGGCACACAGCTCATCTCAGCCTCAGCAAACTTGAACAGGCCTGCTGCTGCAATAAATCCACATCCTCCATAAGATACCTTTTGCAAGCATGCAAATCCATTGCCAGCAAGTTAAACATGCATGCCATATGGCCACTAGTGGGCAAGAGTACTCGCCCCAAAGCCTGTACACTGTTTGGCATTAATGTCTGCTCAATCATTCCATAGCATCATTGCTTGCTGAGCCATCGATAAATATCCACATGTCACTATCCAACTGTTGGATTCCAATGGCCTTTTAGATAGTGGCTATCTAGCTACGCACTGCAAAAGCAAGAAAGCTAACGCATGCACTTGCAGGCCCAGTTGACCAATAAGCAAGCTGTACAAACTTTGAGTGGCCCGAGACGATAGGCCCAAGACAGCCTGAGAAATGCAGCCAGTCGTTTCAAAATCAATATAATTATCGTTCCTTGCTAACCTGGATCCCTTAAAGCTGACGTGCCAACCCAGCCTCCAATGAGTCATGCTTAATCATGATCAGCTGACAACCGGCACATAACGTGCTTATGCACACATGCATGGGAATGTTCCCATCTTCACAAAACTTGCGGTACTTGAAATACCATATTGACAGGACTCGCTAGAGATAAAGGTAGAAAAAGTGGCCGCCAATGCAACAGTGCCCTCTGGAAAAAAAAGGACCAGCGCATCTTTGACATATTTACGAACTTGCAGCTCCCCCAAGCACCGTATTTCTTCTTGCCTAAACCTGATTTGCTGCCGTGACAAAACGTATTATAGAGGCACATCAATCGCTCTAGAGCTTCACACTGTGCATTGCAGGTGGGGTCAAGAGGAGAATGGTCTGCAGGCAACAATCTTTATCAACCGAGCTCACACTCTATCATGCGCAGAACTCTCCACGAGCTTGCAGCAGTCATGACTGCCCAGGAGACAATGCACCCCTGAACAGCAACCAACACATTTGCTCGAGGCATGCAAGCGTCTAATCTAACCTTGACATGCGGTACCTCTTGCATGCTGCGTCATACTGCTTGCCCCGGCAGTTGTGGGTCAACAGCGCGCAATCCATGCGGGGCCAGGACTTCATTTCGGGTTTCGGATTTCGGGTTTTGGGGCTTTTTGTAAGGGCTAAGATTTTAGGGTTCTGACCCTAACCCAACCATAAACCCTAACCCAAACCCCATAAATTGACTGCCCGGCACCGCCCACCCACCCTGCCCCCCTTCACATCATGCGGGTAAAATATCTTTAGATTTCAGTCCCTGGTGCCTGGAGGGGCACGTATTGGCGATAGCCGCTGATTTTGGGCTGATCAGGCAGCAGGAAGGCAGCTGCAAGGCAGCTGCCATGAAGGGGAGTGGAGGGTGGAGTGCAGCACTGTCCCGGAACCAAAGGATGAAGCGCTTGATCTGGCACCGGTCAATTGCATGATCTGGCACCGGCCAGGAGACCTGATTTGGCAGCTGGCAGGGGAGAAGCTGCTCAGAAAGGGACGCGGAAGGTGGAGTGCATGCGCTATTCTGGCACCGGTCAATTGCATCATCTGTATTGGTACCGCCCGACGAAGCCTGAATTGGCATAAACGTGTTTGCCTGATTAGGCAGCAGCTGCCAGGAAGCTGCCTAGAAGGGGACGCGGAAGGTGGTGTGCATGCGCTGGCGCTGCACTGCCAGCAGCGCCCTCAGCCGCTCCTCTTTCTCCTGCGCCTCCTCTGCGCGCTCGGCCCAAGCCTTGGGGTACCTGGCCGGCAGGACACAAGCAGGATGTCAGGATTGGTCAGCCCTTGCTGTGTGAGCTACGCTCGAGGATATTTAATTGCTGAACTTGTAGAGCTGCAGAACAAGGCTGAATCATTGACAGGTGGATTGGCGCCCGGCCAGGTCAGCCTGTGTGGCCCATCCATTAGTGTCAAGCAAACAGAGGATCCCAAGTTGACACTCTCCTCGGGGATGTATAGAGGGATGGCCCTGATTGAGCTGCCAGGCATGAAAGTCCTATAATAATTCCAGTCTCGTTCTTCCTGTACTTTGTGCCCGTAGCAGCCCTGAATGTTTAACACGGGCCGTCAAACCAAAGCCATTTATGACCTGAAGGTCACTGAGCTCTTCTGCGCTTGTTAATACGCAGGACTTCACGATACCACATAAGTGCTGAAGTACACTTTATATTGACAATTGTTAACGTAGCATACAGCAATATTGCCTCTGCATCTGGCCTTGTCTGCAGCTCAGCACCCCACCTCTGCTTGGGGTGCTGAGCTGGAATTTGGTGCAAGCAGCATCTATGCGTGCTCTGCTTATTTTTTGCATTGCATGTCAAGGACCGAGCTCCTACCTCTGTTTGATTACCCGCTCGGTCTCCTTGAGCTTTTTTGGCAATGAGAACGACTCCCATGCTGAGTTACTTGGGGCAGGCAGCATCTATATGTACCTCGCTTACTTTTGCTAACCCCCTCAAAGAAAGGGGAAAAAGACGAAAAGAACGGGGGCCCACCTCTGCTTGATGAGCCGCTCGGTCTCCTTCAGCTCAAGAGCATGGACGAAGACTCCGGCAGTTCTGCACTCGGGGCAGGCAGCATGCACGTCCACGTGGTCCAGGATTGCTCGCACGGTCCCCAGAGCGTTCCCTTTTCCGACCGCGCTGAATGCACAATCAGCGCAGAAACGGTGGCCGCACTCGAGTCCAAGAGGTTGGTACATCGCCTCCTGCGCGTTTACCAGATCATGTCATATTACTAATGCAATGTTACTTTAAATTGATACTGACTTGCATGGTACATGGTCTTCTGCACGTTGCCAGAGCAGGAAGCAGTGCTGATTTAATTACTGAATTAAAATAAAATCTCATCTTTTCCTACCGTATATCTTGCTTTCTACCTGAGATGTAACACCAGCAGCACATCAGAAGCTTGGTTTAATGCACTATCCACCACAAGAGCATGTCGCGTCAGGCGACTTTAGCTCAGTTGGGAGAGCGTTAGACTGAAGATTTAAAGGTCCCTGATTCGATCCCGGGAAATCGCAAACTGTTTTTTGGCGTTTTTCGCCCCGGCTGCCGGGGGCCGGTATAAATACTGAGCACCTTGCCCGCGGTGGCTTGGGTCTTGCTTGGGTCTGGCGAGTGTGACAAGGGGCAGGATTTGTAACAGCCTCTAATTGCAGCTTCCGGCTTTCTGCACATGCACGGTTGCCTCCTGGCAGGAACAGCGCATGGCGATAATGCATTGGTAACAATGCATGGCAGGGCGACTCACCGGGCAGATTGATCAACCACAATTAATAAGTTGGCTGAAATGACCTGGACCGCTACTTTGCCATTCGGAATACAGTCTACTGGCCAGTTCCCGGGGTCAGATGTGAACTTTTGGGACTGATTAAGAAGGGCCAGGGCATTATAACTGTGTAAATCTCTGGCCTTTAGTAACTTAGGAGTTAATTTTCAAACCGTGCACTAGGCAGATGGGGCACATATGATCGTTGTCGACATGCTCACCGCCGCCCCCATACCCCAGGACGCCCGTACACTAGGGGGATATATCATTCTGGGGATGTTATGTAGGGTCACCCTAGGGTTATAGACCCTAAACAAAAAACCTAAAACCAAACTATCCCTAAAAAAGAGGTTAGATCTGCTCACCAGGCAGATGGGGCACATGTGGTCGTTGTCGACGTGCTCGGTGCCGTCCCCGACGCCCGAAGATGCGAGTGACAGGTGCCTGAGCTGCAGCGACTCGCGAACCATCGCCTCATTCGCCTCCACCGCCGCTAGCACTTCCAAAGGCTTGCCTCCCGCTGCGCCCTCTGCGTGCATGCAATCCCGTTCGGTTTTGTATTTGCCAGGTTAATATAAGATTTGTGAAGGAAGGTAAGCATGGTTTTGGGAGGTTTTGAACATTCTCGGCCCGGGGATCTGTCACAAACGACCTTGCAGGACAGCTACCAGCGATTTACCACTACACATGCCAGGTATTCTCCCCCCAAGCAGCTCTTGATCAAGATGGGAAGTCAGATCAGGGCTCCTTCAATAGCGAAAAGGAATGCAGGCCCATTTTGGGCTCTGTTGTTGCCGCACCTTGGCTCGCTGCCAAGGCCATGGCGGCATTAGGCGCATTGCTGTTATTTTTCTCTTAAGTGCCATGACACTACATAGGTCTTTTAGCTCTTGACATGAGAGCAAGCTGTTGCCGCACCTTGGCTCGGTGCAGCATCCGCGGCAGCTGGAGCGCTCAACGCGTCGGTGCCTTTCTCGTAGTGCTGTGACACCGCCGCGGTCAGCTCCAGGCTGGGCAGCATGGGGAGGTCCACCCGGTCCGAGTCTCCCCCCTCGCTGCTGAGCTGGACGCTGACCGTGCGCGAGGGGGGGTCCCCGGCCACCGGCGGCTTTCCGGCAGCTGCCAGGATGGCCTGCAGAGACTTCAGCTCCTCCAGCATCGGCGAGTGGAGGAACGTCCCGTAGCTGCGCCGGTGCCCGGACCAGACCTCCTGCGGGCCAAGGTTCTTTATGCGTTAGTCCGTAACAGTATTATGTTCACCGTTACTCTCATTTGAACATAACTAACATCCCGGAAATGACAGCAGAACGAACGGCCAGATCTGGAGGGTGTCATAATGAGCCAAATACAGCGATTCCGGCCTTTGCGTCAGCTGAAATACAAAAACACAAGCTATGTCTTGCCACTTGGGTTCTGGCGTAAGTGGGACAAAGTGCACATTGTTGTTTCCACCTCCAAGAATATGCAGGCAAACAGAAAGTCAAGATCCGAGTCCGCAAAGGGATCTGGGCGATGTCTCACATGCAAGGTTCCGACCCAGATCAGAGCCTTGTGATGCGAGCATGGGCCAATCACAAAATCAAAATCAGAAACAAGAAAGCGGCCATCCATGATGTCACAGGGATGCCATAACCTTGAGCCACACACCTGCAGGAAGTCTGCCCCGCTGCGGCACTTGCAGACCTTGTCGTGCTTCTTTATGATCTGCCGCAGCACACATCCAGTCAGCACACAGTCCAATCAGTCAATGCAGCGCAGAACTCTACATGAGGTCCAATATCTGGCAGGATACATTTTCCCCTTACAACTGCATGCAAAGGAACCAAGCATGCATGTCGTAACTTTATCCGTCTTCGCACTGGTAAAATGAACAGAAATGCAAAACAAGCACGGAATGGTCAGCATCAAGCAGGGAGGAAGGGCTCTCTCACGGTATTTCATGCTACTACTCAAGGTACTGAAACTTAATACAAATCAGATCACTAACACAAGGTGTTGAAAATGCACCTTCCGAAGTGCCACACTGTTGATCTGCGCATATCTTCTGCACCACTCGGCCCTCTGTGCGATCTCCTCCGTCTGCAAACGCAATCACCCCCACTGTTTAGCTTCCATCGCTCGGCAAATACTCAAAAGTTATATAATGTTTCCCAGATCTTCTGCGGTCCACAGGAGGTACACAGTAAGACAGCCCTGTTCAAACAGTTGAAGTGCTTGTGTTCAACAGCACATGAGTGGGCATGCCAGCTCTTCACAGCGCAGAGCTGCGCACTTCTGATCAACATGCAGTCATCTGACATCTTTCGCGCTTCGAATGCGAGACCCACAAGAAGGCCGGCTCATTGAACCCCGAATTGCTTGGTACTTCCATGCGACACTCCTCACCATGCCAGCTCTTCTAAACCCAATAGCTGCAGGCTGTTTAATAGAATCCACTGACGCCCATGTCTTGCAAAAGCTGACAAGGCAATTCAGATTTGAGTCAATCGACAGAGACCCCTTCCAGCTGTGACATTGATCAAAGAGGAGCCTCTCCCCAGAGTGCAGCGCAGAGGACAGGTCATTAAATGAATGGGCGCGGTGCCATTCTCCCTTTGCAGCAATTACTAATATACCAAGCCAGTTTTTTCAATTGTCAATGCATCCCTGCTTTTCTTTCCTCTTATACCTTTCATGTGCAGCAGGTCAAGCTGGCACCTCAGGATTGAGTGGATTACACAAAGAGACAGGGGATCACCGTGGCCTCTGGGTCTTGCGGTTTTGCCAGGCAGCCGAATTTTGCCGCCCAGGCATGCACCCTCGATACACCCCCCGTGTGAGACAGCGAGATGACCTTCCGCGAAGCTCTCTGAAACTCCCTGCCACGATGACATAACCATGAGTCACCTGCAGGTGCTTTGGATTCTGCAGCTGCCAAGGACTGCAGGAATTGCAGTGCTGCCATGCTGTCTGTGTGTGTGCCTGGGCACAATATTTATTAACGTTGCAAGATATACAGCACAAGCAAATTCACAGCAATGAATCGCAAGGTGACATCTCATGCTAACAGCTCTGCCGCGAAGCTGTGCAGTGCAGTCCTGGGAGCTTCAAAAATCCGCAGTCATCTAAGGATAATGCCAAGCTTCTACAAAGCGGGCGTGGCCCTTATCAGCCGTTGCCTGGTAAGGGCCACACCGAGACAGCCTCCTACTAGTGGATGGGGGGAAGGTTTCACAGGCCCTAGAGCTATGTGGCTGTAGCAGTCCTGATGCTGAGAAATTTTGTCATAGGATAGCAAAGTCGACTCACTTGTTGACTTTGACCACCTCGTTGAACAGCAGGTCGAAGAAATCTGCGTCTTTTTCAGCATCGCAGTCGCCCCCAGGTCCACTGTCCGGGCAGCTGGTTTTCCCGACGGAGCGGTCCACCGGGCTGTGAAGGCAATTGGAACCAAATCATTGGAGAGCAGCATCAACACACATTGCCATTTATTGAACGCAAGAAGATTGGCAGATCTTGAGAACACTTGAGCTTGGCAGATCATGCTAGAAGTGATAAGGACAACTCACCAGCAATGTTGAATAAATGAGTACAATGGCTGGGGCAAAATGTAAGCTTTCTGACGCTACAGCTATTGTGGGTGGCAAATTTCAAAGGTGATCCAGGCGTTCGCTGGAGCGCGCAGCAACGCGCACCTCAACCCTTTCACTTTCTTTTTAAGCAGCCTGTAGTTCACGAACTTCCTGCGCCATTCCGGGGGCGCGTCGGCCTCCACAGCCTTCAGGTAGCTGCTGAACTTCATTTCTTCCCGATGGTTTTCCGGCACCCAGCACAATTCGGTCTTCACGCTGCACCCGTCGCGGTTTCTTCACGCCTTTCTTTTGTCCATCTCAGTCCTGACTTTGCTTAAAGCGTCGACCGCAGAAGCAGTCCAGGTGGGGATCGTCATGGTCTTCTCCTGCTGCCGAAGTTCTCCTTTAAGAAGCCTATATAGGATAGCAATTTAGGGTTCCGAAAAGGAACGGATCTTGAAGATCGCCGAATTTAGGGCTTATATCGTGTACTAAAGTTGCAAAAATATTAGTAATCAAACAACGCATCCAGATTATAGCTGGAGCGGACATGATCTCCACTTAGAGCAGAAGTACAGAAGACACAGGCCGGAAATGCAGCCTGTAGTCCACCAGAGGTAATGCAGAAATAGAGTGGCCCAAGAAATAGTAGTGGCCATGACCAGAGATCGTGCGGTGCTCTGCAACAGTGGAAATTAGGTGCTGGAGTGCTTGCGTAGAAGCAGACCTGCGTTTTAGACACGGATCAGAATTAGTTCAGTGGTCCGCAGAGGTTTGGTACAAGTCGACCGAAAGCGAAGTGGACTTGGAGTGGAGATGCAGTATAAAAGCTGGAACCGCCGTGGACGTCAAATGGACGCAGGTACAATTCGAGTGGTGCAACCGTAAGTATAGTTTCACAGCCTTCAAGTGGGTTGCCCTCGGCTGACTGGTGCGCCTCAATATCCAAACCTTTGTAGAGCAGGAATCCAAAGAAGGTCGTGGCTAATCGCTTGAGTACGACCACTTGATAACGCAGGTGTTGCAAAGCGATATCATGGAATATGTGGCTGCTTGAGTTGTATCGCCCGGAATGATAAGCTTCAGCGCGATGCTACTGCAGTTGGTGGCCATAAATTTTGTACACGCTCATGACACAGGGAAACCATTTGTGACCGTCGTGAGAACCGATGGCTTTGGGGCACAGTTGCAAGAAAGGATCACATGTCTTGTCAAGAGTAGGGTAATTCCAGGAGTTTCATATGTACATACGCCAATGAAAAATTTGGACCACTTAAGGTCCGCATCCTGGCGAGTTTTCCAAGACCTGGAAGATTTTGTCAACCTTGGGGAAGGTGAGCTACGGCCAGAGGATGTACCGGCAGATCAAATCGAGATCCTAGAAGGTTGTGCAGGTTTTGTGAATGCCAACATTGGTTTGCTTGAGTTGTTCAAGGGAGAGCTGTGTTTGAAGCAACAAAGCAACAAGGAATGTCCACAGCAGCGCATTCAACATTTCCACCTTGACAGGGGCAATCCTCGAAAGCTTAGTGTACATGTGCATGTCAGACGAGGAGATGTTCAGAGGGACAACAAAGATAAATGGTTGGAGATGTCTCACCATCTGAAAACTGTGCAAAAGGTGTCAGAAGCTGCAAAATTGGTTGACCTGTCTGCCGAAATTCATGTTCACTCTCAAGGAAATACCTCAGAGTTTACTCAACTTGCGGAAAAGTACGAAGCAGCGCTGCATCTTGACGTAGAAATGCTGGCCTCTTGGAAGGCCATGACAGAGGCTGACGTGCTGATCATGAGCCGCAGTTCATTTTCGTACACAGCTGCATTGTACAACCAAGCGGGTATCATCATTTACAGTGATATGCGGCCTTCTGAGCCTCTTCCCAGCTGGCTTGAAGACTCGGCATCAGTCAATGCTATTGCAATGCGATTGCAGCACTTTAAGGTTCTCAGGCGTCTAGGAAGTCTAACATAGAAGTATCAAATTAATTACTGGTGGCACCCATCTATCAAAGGTAATACTATTCAAAATTATAAGTAATAATAGTAACAGTAGTTCTATCATAGAATGCTATTGTCTCAAAGCCGCTCAATGGCCACAATGCTGTGCTAGCATTGCTTATATTTAGTGGCATCATGCAATTAATTCAGTGTATAAACATGTACAAGCTTAACCAAATGTGAGCGACTTCTAGAATCATTCAACTTGAATTTGTTAGAAGGAATTCATTTTATGCCATAGTGAGGCAATATATTGGGCACTGCCAATAGCAAAAAATTATTTCCCTAGTAGCCCGAGGCCATCCGAATCCATTGGTCCATTGGTCACTATTGCACGGTCACAGCCGAATTGTGCATGGCATGCATTTCACAAATTCGACTCACAAGTGGTGGTACCCAAGTTTTCGTTATTATAATAGTATTGGCCCCGGCTGGCGGGGGGCGGTACAAATACTGAGCACCGTGCCCACGATTGATTGGGTCTTGCTTGGATCTGGCGAGTCCAACAAGGGGTAGGATTGTGGCAGCTTTTGACTGCAGCTTGTCTGCATGACGCACCTTGCAATTGCCTCTTGGCGGGAAAAGCGTGTAATAATAATAATGATAATAATAATAATAAGAATAGTAATAATAATAAGAATAATAATAATAATAAGAATATTAATATTAATAATACAATATTATCTAGTCGTAGTACCGAGAGAACTGCTTTCTTCATCAAGACTTCTTCTCCTCCATCTTCTTATCATTCTGGTTCTTCTTGTATCGTCAAAATAATGTATAATTTTAGGTTTTCGCACCTTTAAGTCAGTACGGTACTGAATCCTAGATACCTTCGATGTTGGCAAGGTAGTGTAGTCAATCTGAACAACAACAGACAGCCGCTTGTCTGTTTGAGTACTACTAGTACTCGGTAAGGAGGAAGTGCCGGATGCATCCTCATCGGACTCCGAGGAGGAGGGTTTGGGAGCCTGAGGACAGGCGCCGCGCCGTCGCGGCGCCGGCGTGTACACTTATTAGAGTATACTGTATCTACCAAATTACCTCCCACCTACTTAGTAGATCCCGATTTCAAGCCAGAAGTTCTGTGTGCACCCATGGATCGATTCCGGAACCACTTATCATCGAATCAATTTTGAATAAATTATCGTGGTCATTACTCATGATTCCTGATGATGCCATGGCCACATGCGTCTCTGTTCTTGTAACGCAGTAACATTCGACATGCTTTCGAACCTAGAATTTACCAGGGAACATAGCACTGCGTTTTGCTAGAAAATTCCCTGTCGCTGAGGATTTCTTGCGCGATTCGACACAGGAAACCCCGGGACTGCGCTTGGCGCTGGGCGATCCTGGGAATACCCGGTACTACCAGTAGTACTGCGCAGTGCAGGGACGCCCCGGTCCTACAGAATACAAGATCTACTGAATCTGCGTACTCCCGAGGATGGTAAATTTTAGGGGATGCCGGGTCTGGTTTAGGCTAGGAACTGCCAGGGACGAGAAGTCAGTCGGGGATTCTCGGTCTTAACAGACCGGCTTCTTCTGTGCGCGACAAGTGGGAATACAAAGCAAAATGGGATATTATCTGTTTGTCTTGTAAGCATCTGCGGTGTTACAATGTTGACAGCAGATAGCAGCACAGACTATTTCAATTTGACACCAAAATGCTGAAGTGAGTCAGTACTGAAGCATGCATCACTACTAAGCCTGCCCAAGCCTCTCCCTCCAACTCTACTCCACCCAAAACTGCTCCTTGGCTCTCCATACTACAGTGTCATTGCATCACGGTCATGCAACAAGGCTATGGAGGCACTGCTAGTAATGTTGCCCGATTCCACGGCGCCTGGCAGCACTTGCATGCATGGTTGCCATGGCCAGCAAGGCAGTCTTGCAAAGGCAGAGCTTCCTAAAGAGCACTCCATGGCGAGGCGCATCGCTCATATGCACAACTCTGGTTTGTCCTGGGGGTCCAGTAATACACCAGCGCCCCTGACATCGCCACCCTGATTAGCCCCGCCTACCTGCATGACACACCCTTGCACCCCTGACACCCCATTCATGCAGATTGTTCATCTGTACGACAGTTCTCCTTTCAATGTATTCACATCCACTGCCCAAACCCTCTCTCCTTTCAGTGGCGCTTTACCTGACCAACAAATGCATGAAACTGAATCTAAGATGCCGATGCCACCGACTGGCTCTCATGGGTGATCAGGACCAATCAGCTTTGGGCCCGCGCATGCTGTCGTTTCTCCTGTTCACCGCAAGGTGCTCACAGGTCTGAAGGGAAAATGTAGTCTGCAGGAAGCGGGGCGCCGGACCAGGTGATGATCATCTCATTGAAGTTCGGGGGCTCCTCTTTGCGCGAGAACCAGTTGTGCAGCATGGCAAAAGGGAACACGAAGGCTGCGCGGCCCAGCATGGTGAGCGGCAGCAGCACGCTGAAGAGTCACACCGTCTCTCCAAAGCACGTGTTCTGCGCCCCATCACACACGCATCTCAGGGCATCAATTTAGGATTTGTGCCGTGAATATCTGGACTCTCGGAGATGTCTGTGCCTTGCTCCACAGCTATTGATTGGAAGCAGGCAGGAATTCTCAGCACCTGCTCTTGCAACCATCTATAAAAGGCCAGTCTTGTCACTTCAGGCAATTGGCTCACAGAGTGCTGCATGCAAGTTGATATTAGCATTGCAAAGGACAATCACACATAGCAGCACGCGTGGCAAGATATTGCGTGCCGACACCCATGTCAGAAGCACTTGTAACGTCACAGCCAGCAGCATCGCCACAATCAGAGAGCATCAAAAATCTGCACTGGGGCTGCTCAGGTTGGACTTTTGCACAAGGCCCATGGCGTCGGCAGGCAGAAATGTCACACTCAAGGTAGCATGGGTGCTCTCCTGAAGAGCAGTGGACCTTTCAGAAGAGGGGGAGTTGTTGCTGCTGCATGCAACCGCGATTCGTACGAAAAAGGCCACAGGTAACACAGGAATACTAAGAGAATGCTGGATTCCGATTGCCTTATCTGCATCCGTGGGCGCTGGTGGAGAGCCTGCATTGTTTGCAATGCGAGGACAGAATTTGAGGACTTGAAAATGAGGTGATGAGCCGAGAGAAGAAGCACCTGTGCCGCCGGTTGTGCTGACGTCAGCGGGGAGGCCGAGGGGATGAAACAGGGGAGGCGGCGTGCGGTACGTCCCGGTGAGCGCTCTGGAGCGCCCCAGCACTGGTGCCGTTGCCCTCTCCGCCGCTCAGCATCACCTGCGCCTTCTCCAAGACACATTGTACTGAGCAGCAAGGCAATTTCTTAGATCTCGATGTTTCTTGAATGCAATTTACGAATGCACCGCAGAGCCTGGGGAGAAACCATACAGGGTAAGAATGCACGACGTGTAGTAGCAGTAGCAAGTGTCCACATTTGCTGTGCCCTGCAGTGATCTTGAAGTCTGCCTGGCAGCTTTCATGTATGTTCTTAGAGCCGCAAATTTGCCCAGGATAACAGTTGAGGAGGAGCAAAGGGTGAGTTGCAAAGTGATTCACCTGGACGATGCCATCATGGTCAATGCTGGCCGAGTTGCAGAGCAGCCTGGTGATGAGCGCCAGCCGCTGGCTTTCACCTGGCAGGTCAGTCAGAACAGGCTATCAGTTCCTACACACCCAAGCATGCACATCCGCTCATGAGCTGCCTCAATCTTTACAACAACAAATAATAGGGTCTGTGCTAGCACCAAGAGCACATGGAAAAGAGTGACAGCATGAAAGCTATATGTTGCATACATGTCCTTGCGACATGCAGTGGGGCATAGGGGTCATCTATGTACTGGTGTGCAGCAGAGGTGGTTTCAATATGGTGCAGCTTGAATTTGTGCTTATCCCCTGTCTTCCAGGACTCGAGTCACTGTGGACTCCAGAGACCATACGTGCCCGGCTTACATCTCAGCTGAGACACAAGCGCCCCAGCTGGAGGTCTCTGAGGCCTCAGGGTCCAGATATGTTTGAGAGGGAAGGCTGATGCACCCTCGTCGGAGCAGTCATCACTCTGGCTGCCCTCAGCACCACACCGGTCGCGCTGACTGTGCGCCCCTCCGCCTGCGCTGTCATCGTCGCAGCCGCCACCTGTGCCAAGACTTTGTTACTTAATTAGCCATTGCAATCAGTCCTTCTGATGATATATATCATGGTGGCCTGTTAGGACGCTGTGAGGAGGCCTGGAGGCTTGGAGATAAAGACTTTGTATGCTCGTGTATGACAGCTGCTTCTCTACACCCGATAAGTAAATCTCGCGTCCTATGCTTTCAGTGGCAGGCAATCCCAACAGGTGAGGAACTTGCACAAGAAGCAACAATCTCATAAGCCTGACATTGCATGGAGTGTTGCACGCCACAGCAGCTTCCAAGTGACGAGATGGCTTCACAGATTTCATAGCAAGCACGCACAACTAACCTGCTTGGCAACCTGGGCCGCGTCTGCGTACAGCGTTAGCAGCCCAAAGGCCTCCGCCACCAGCGAGTCAGCATTAGTAAGCGGCACGACTCGCCCGAGTCACCACTGCCGCCGCACCAGCCTTCAGCCCCAGCGCCTTCCTGCGCATCCCATATGAAATAATTATTTAGATAAAATTTTGTGCTTTTTTATGTTTTGGCTCTGCTGGCTCAACTGACATCAAGTAACAGCTTGAGCACTCTCTAAAATATAGAACGCATATTGCAACACTTTTTTCGAGATGCACGCATGCATGTGCCAGCAGCATTCTGGAAGTCAACATGATGCTAGCAACAGAGGCATTCTGATGACATAATTGACAACTTTTCGCAAGGAAGGAAATACGGCATGAGTTGATGAGCGGGTGCTTAGCGCACCTGCAAGCCTCCGCCAGCCTGCCGGCGGCTGCTTCGCTGGCGGTCAGGTCAGCTTCTAGCGCCTTCTCGTTCGGGCTGCCTCCTTTGCCAGCGCCACAACCTCCTCCACACTCCCCACCCCTGCCCATGCAAATCCATCCTTCAGCTTGAAAGCTTGGAATATCACACCTCACACCTTATGCTCCGACACATCTTGCTCGCAGTGAATCTCTGGGTATCATCCAATGGCACATTCTCAGGATAAAAAGAGACGTGCAATTGGGGCATGAACATGCCTGATAGGGGTGTGCACATCAGGCATGTGAATTCAGCAAATGCGAGGTATACTTGGAGGGATATTGTGACACTTTGCATTGATGGCAGGCTCGAGAGGTATCTAAGCACCTGCGCGGGACTCCGGCAAGCTTTTTTACGAAGGGGAGAATCTTGAGCCGCCGGCTCTGCAGCTGGGAAACAGCCGTACAGCGCGAGCGAGCACGCTGATGTCAGCGGTTAAAAAAAGCCGAAAAGGCCTGCTGCCCTAGTTCTGAGAGCACACCACAGCACCCTTTTGCCAACATGGTGAATCTCTCCCATCATACTGCACTGCGCGGAGTCACAATGTGGATTTTTCCTCTAATTCCGTTTCAGTTCTACACCAGGTGCACATTTCTCCGAAAAGACTTCACTAAGTCTGCACACTCACCGTCTTGTGTGGTTCCACTGCTGTTCCACTCCACTGTCTACTCCAACTCCGCTCGGATGCTGGCTCGGGCACCACGCCATCACTTGAAAAGTTGTGCTCAGAGAGCGATCTGGCTCCAATCAATTTCCAACACTGGATACTGCTCTATCGTCCAATCTATTACCACCCTTTTCATAGAAAAAACACACCGTACTTCTAGCTTGTGGCCCGCTTTCATTATTTATTCATTATATCCCTCTAGTCTGCAGCATTCATCAAGTCTTGCACCCCTCTGGTGTCTTCGTGACAGCTCTGCGATGGGGTTCACCGACGAATAGACCTGAAACGAAGCAAGTATCCAGCCCTGCTCCTTGCCTCCTGCCGAGCAGCCGCTTCTTCATACGTTCGGCATCCTAGCGGACACCGTTGCTGGGTGACCTTTTCCAGCATATTTGTCGCTGACCAAGTTCACCTAAACAGGCTGTAAGGCGAGTGACCCAAGCAAGCATGCACCTGCCGTTTGGTATGTTGCAGAAGCACCTGTGGGCTGTGCGTTGCGACCGGCAGAACCTGCAACCCAGCACTTCTGACCTGACTTCGCCCCCCTTGCACGCAGGGGCCTTTAGAGTCCGATGATTTGAGGAATCTCAGCATGGGAGCGTGTGCCTCTAGCCCCAGAACCCTCCCAGTGCTTCCGATCATCACGGATGCGGCCTCCTGTGCTCCTCGTAAGGTTTGTGCCATGCCCTCTGCCCTACACATATTATTGGACCACTTTGCCACTTTAAGTTTTTAAAGTAATATGCTGCAAGGGTAAGAGCATCTGCATCGTCCCTGTGCCGTTGCTGCCACCTGTGGTGTCCTTTGCGACTCACATCCTTGACCACTTGTGGCCAGCAGGCGGAGGACCCTTCAAGCAACAAGCCCCACGTCCAGCAAAAGGGATCCAGCATCCAGGCCAGCCATGCAGAGCACGGCTCCGCCGAGCTCAGAAAGCAGGAAGCTGCAGGGCATTCAGCCAGCAGGCAGTCTGACGAGCTCAGCCCGCTGCCTCAGTCCGTATACCACGACTCCGCCGGCTCACTACCCGCCGAGCAGCGCAGCAGGTGCCCCCCGGCAGTGAGCCGCCGTAGTCAGCGCCAGCCTGGCGCCCCCGGCCGCCGACCCCCGGCCGCCGCTCCGATCGGCGCGGCGGCCGGCGCGGCCGGCCCTGAGGCCGCGGCGGAGGACATCGATCCCTCCTACCAGCCGCGGGTCAGCTTCAGCGACGACGTGCCCCTAAGCCCCTTTGAGGCGCACATCTCTGCGCACAAGCAGCGGCAGATTCGGCACTCAATCGAGCTGCCGGTGCGGCCCGCCAGCCTCACGCTGGACGACACCTGCTTCCAGCGAGATCGCCAGTCAAACCGCAGGTGTGGGCCTCCAAATGTCATCACATGTCCTTTCCTCTGCATATATATTATTTATAAGAGGCAAAGACCCGGCTGGCCGGGGGCGGTATTACCATCGAGCACCGTGCCCACAGTTGGGTCATGCTTGGGCCTGGAGAGTCCAACAAGATTCTTTGAACCCGAGATTTTCAGCAGAATCGTCGATTGCAAGGTCTTTCCTCTGTCCATGTGAGATCTGCATGCTGGTAACGCGTGCAGAGAAAATGGCAATGTTTAATAGCTGTATTGTCAGCCTCTGCGGGCTGGGGTGGTGTATGCACTGAGCACCGTGCCCACGCTTGGCCCTTGCTTGGTCCTGGCGAGTCCAGCAACCGGCACTGCCGCATAGCTCTGAAATTTTTGAATCCAAGCTTCCAGAACATCAATCAGTTGCAAGCTTGTTCTGACGTTCCCAGCAGAATAAATCAAGTGTATGATCGGCTGGGAATTTCTCAAAACATCCCATTTCTGCGCAGGCACTCAATCTCTGTGGCAGCGCCTTTGCAGCAACGCACCGGGGCACTTGTCGTCAGCGAGCTGGAGCGGACAAATAAAGCTGGGCTGGGTATGCATCAATCACCCTTTAATTTTGCTCAAAAAGTTCCTAGGGGAACACCATGAAACACCAGATTCTCCCATGCTGCACATCTGCTGAACCGTGTGATACCTGGGTTGAAGTTGAAGTTCGAATTTGAGTCTTTTCTGTGCGTATCGCAATGCTGCGACTGCCGGCGCCTTTCCTTGCGCACTGCCTCGTGGCAGCTGCACTTTGCACTTGCGACCGTTTCGTAGGGGTTATACTCAGGGTCAGGTTGAACCCCAAATGCGTACGTTTGCTGATTTCATGTGTCACACAGTACAACTTACTGCACTTCATGCATGCAGATCACATCCTGCGGATGTCTGCGACGAATTTTCCGCACCATCTCGGTGCCGCTGCCTCTGCACTGCCCTACAGCTCAAATCTTTATTAATCTAGTAAAAATGAGAAATTGCATGCATGCAATGCAGATTGTATCCTGCGGCTCTCTTACTCGGTGTCTCCGCACCGACTCAGTATTGCTGCACTCGCGCGTCTCGTCTGCTGTTTTCACGTCTGCTGTTCTCAAGCTCAAGTTCACGCTAATCAACAAATTTGATCCGTCTATTGGGGCGCAGATCGCCGTGCGGTGGCTGTCCGAGTCGGTGTTTTCGCACCTCCCCACCGCTGAATTTGATTTTTAAGTTGTAATTGAAGATCATCCATGCATGCAGATCGCATCCTGTGGCTCTCGTCCTCGGTGCTTTGGGACCGCCTTGGTGCTGCTGCATCTACCTCACTTTTGACTTCCAACCCTAAAATCAAACTTACGCGCATGCTTGCAACGCAGATCGCATCCTGCGGCTGTCGGGGTCGGTCTTCCGAACGGACTCGGTGCTGCTGCATCTGCGAGACGGCAACCGGGTTTTTGCGCGTGAGGAGGACGTGTCGTTCTCTGAGGGCGTGCGCGCAGCCGCCTGCCGGGCGCTGCAGCCGCCGGACGGAGGCATCGCCGTCGTGGACGAACCCGGGTCAGATCCGCGGTGAGTCATCTACTCCTGAGAACTGCAGCTAAGATTTAAATTCCGGCAGTCAATGGTGTGTGGCAATGTCGAGGGGGGTCATGCAGTTAGTAGCAACAACGGTGCTGCCTGGCCGCCGTGGAGGACCCTGGGTCAGATCCGAGAGGAGTCATGCAATAGTAATGCTGCAGCTAAGAACCACACAATCTTTTTAATCGATCAATGTGCAGCGGTGCCGCGGCGGGTTTCGGAGTGGAAATTTGATGGTCAATAGTGTGCCTTAACAGTCTGTCTTCAGAAAATCTATGGAAGGAATAAAGAAGGCATTTTTCAAGGCATTCCTGGGATATGACAGCTGAGCGACAGGGCTGCAAGGCCTTCGTTTGGTTCCAAGACTTTGCTCGGCAATGAGTTGGCTGGGGAATCTGGCAGCTCCTGGTTGTTTACCGTAAGGCAGGGGCGTTGCCTTAATCAGTGATCATAAGTCTGCTGGCTAGTCACAGGGACTAGCGTTGACAAGGGACTTTCTCATGGGGGGCTTGCATCGCAAGGATGGTTTTGCCAAAGAATTGAGTGCCAGTCTGATTCATGCTATGAACGGCGGTGGATGTGGCTGCAGGCTAGCGGAAGAGGAGGAAGTGAGAGCAGCTGTGAAGTACTTTGCGGGCGCCCCTCTCATGGCCTCTAACGGCTACCGCCTCGGCTCACTGTGAGTTCTCCTCCTATCCTTGTATCTCCCCTCAGACTTCTTCCACATACTCCCCTCAGACTTCTTCCAACATACTTGTCACTGGGCACGTCAAAAATGTGCTCGCGTATTCTCTTTTCTGATAAAATATGTTATCATATTGCGTGGCAAATAAAAGGATGTTTGGTGCTACTGCCCAGCCTGCCGCAGAATGGTAACTGTTACACGGGACATGCATTGCCTATTCGAGGCATTCTGCATGCATGCGTAGAGGTTCAAAGCTGATTTCCTCAACAAAAAAAATTCCTCAAAAAACTGTTCCTTGCACGTTGCAAGCCAGGCGTCCTAACGACAGATTCACGTTTCCCCAACGCACTTTAAATTTCATGCCTTCAACATGCGGAGGCGAAGGCTGTCTCTTCATATTTAGTGTTTGTTTACTTTACTACTGTTCCTTCTGATATTGATGGGCTTCTTCATGACTGCTGCAGACATATGACCTATCTCACAGTCCCCGTTAGTAACATAAAAACCTGCATGTTCAAACTCCTGCGAGCAATTAGTGATAATCCTTCTTTTGATATTCTGGGCAGGCTATCACTCGTTTGTATTCTGCCGTAGGGTGCTGCTGCACAGCAGGCCTTACCAGCTGGACGCGATAAACAGCACCATTCTGAAAAACATGGCGGATCTGATGGTTCGGGAGGTCTGGGGCGCCTACCAGCACGCGCACGAGCAGCGGATCCTGCAGCTCACAAAGGTGCGCGAAACCCAAATTCTGAGCGCCTGCTTTTGCCAGGTTTTGGTTTTAGACATCGATAGCCAGGTTTTGGTTTTAGACATCAAATTCCCCAAAGGTGCCGCTGACCTCTCATAGTTGTAGATCATGCTTGGGGTACAAACCCCTCAGTACCCCTGAAAAGGAGAGAAGGACATAGAGGTCCAGGCAACTCTGCAAATGCCAGAAAGCCAGGAAGTCAGAGCAACCAGTCCAGGACTGTCCAGCCCCCTCCCTATACATGGGCGTGAGAATCAACGGACGCATGTTTATGAGCGTGCATGCCCTTGGCATCCCTTGCAGGACTTACTAATCGCAGCGTCACTCGCCAGCAAGCTTGTTTACGCAGGGGCATGCATGCATGGCAGGTTTGTGGGATGACTCAGCGTCAGCCCAAGGGCAAGTTCTTGCTGCTCAGTGCAGCGACCTTCCTTCCGACATCCTATTTACCCCTCCCCGGAACCCTTTTCTACTGTCAGTGATTCTCTTGCCTGTATTTATGGCTGTTTTTATGCCACAGGTGGCAGACTGCTACTCGGAGCCGCACCTGCTGGTGGAGGTGTCTGAGCTGCAGCCCTGGAGCATCCTGCGCATCAACCAGGCAGCCGTGCGAGTCACCGGTGAGCTGACTCCAACTTTTCAAGATACAGGGCTGTCAAGTTCGAATCTTAGGGTTTCGGGTTTCGGGGGACCCAAAGACATTTGAGCGCTGCTTTTCCAAAAGGCCCACACAGAATTTCTTGTGCCTCCGGGCAGTCTCAGAGCTCTGGCCATCACCTGGGAAAGCTATTTAGCAATGCAGTCGCGCTCGTGACTTCTCAGTAGGTTTTAAGATTTGCAGCGAGGACAGCTGAAAATTTCTGGTCTGCACTCCCTTGTCATGGGGTGTCGGCAAACACAATTGGTTTTGGATTCCTTTTGTTTTCCACAGTCCTCTGCTCTTCGTTTTCTCTTTGCTGGAGCAGTTATTACCATTGCAAATTGAACCTTGGGAGTGAACATCAGGCATCTGGTGGAAAAGGTGTTGTGCACATTCCACCTGCAGTACAAAGAGGCAAACCACACATCCGCTGTCATATTCTCTGCCATCTAATGGACCCTCCGTTGAAGAGCAAGGCGCTAGTTTCAAAGTGTGCGCGCAGGCATGGACAGGGAAAATGTGACGCACAAGGCCTTCTGGGACGTATTCAAGGGGTTTGACAACAGCAGCAACATGGTGAGCCCCTGCTGCATTGGAGTAATTCCCTTTAGGGTTTGCACCGCAAACCCTCTTGAGACAGGGGCTGTGATTTAACAAGCGCACAAGGCGCCATTCCTGACATCTCAAGCTTCTTAACTCCCTTGTGCTCTCGGTGCACGTCGTGCTATATGCAATTGCCAAATGCTTTGCGACTGAGAATGGCACAGGATACTGACTCAGCTGCTCGGAAAGACTGATGCAAAACTCCACATCATGTGTCATGGTTAAATGTCTTGAAGACTTGGTGCAGCAGTGTTGCAGCACGTTTGAGGCATTCCATTAATCCCCATAGCAGCTTCAGATTTATGAAATATGCATTTGAAATTGGGTAGTAATGGCTGCACCAAACGACGACATGCCATCAATGATTTGTCATTCCTGATGGTTTTTCTCATGTGTACATCTACTATGCAGAAACAAATGGCGGTGGCGGCTCGCGCGGCTCAGGGCTTAAGCTTCAATCTGATCAACATGATGGCGGTCAAGAGGGCCAAGTCCATGGACACCGAGGATGTGACTTTCACCTGCACCTTCAGGTGAGTAATTACAGCATTTTTCCATGTGTCAGGGGCATACGGTAACCATTAGTAATCCTGTATTTAGGATCTGCAAAGGACAGGAGAAATCGCAGAAAACAGCGCGTCCCAGAATTGGCTTTCACCTGCACCTTCAGTTGATTGAGAACGGCGACTTCTTTGTGGGTTAGGGCGAGTGGAGAGTTTGCATCCTGAAAAGGTTCAAGGGTAATATGTGCCCACGCATTTCAGGTACCGGCAAGCATCACTTGTTTTCGTACTCAATCTTGTCTAAATTGTGCGCGGATGCAAGCTTGTCTGGAACAGGGGACCAAATGAGAGTAGAGAAAGATGTCTCCAAGTGCTGGGACCTTGTGGATTAGGCGATGGATCGGGGCTGGTTCTTGCGTCTGACACATTAATTTTATTAGCTCTAAAAAAGCTCTAAAAATTAACCCTGAATCAAAAAACCCCTGAAGAAATATAGAGGGTCGGCGTGGATTTGTCAGCAACCTTCTGCAGACGAATGAAAAATTTCGTCCTGCCTCCCTGTGGAGATTTGGCGTAGCAGTTGATGCGCTGTCAGTCACAAACATGCAAGAACAGTCAGCGTTTGGGGTAGAATGAGCCTAGCCTTGAACCGACAAGGAAGAAAACTTCTTACATTATTTGCATCCCTCCGCGCAGGCCGGCCGCGCGCGACATGGCGGCCGACGACACCAAGCCGCGCTCGATTAGTAACGCGGGCCGGCATTACTACTTCGTGGGGATACGGGTCGAGGCGACGACGCCCTTGACTTCCTGCGTGGAACGGACCCCGCTCCCTGGACTTGTCTTGGGACAGCTATTAGGAACTGGCGCCTTCGGGAGAGTCTACAAGGGATATTACCGCGGACAGGTCGTTGCTGTCAAGGTAGGGGGATCAACTTGCAATATAATAACCCCAATACACCGTTTGTTGGTCGCTTAGTCGGGGCCAAAGGGTTTTCCTGTGTTTCAAGATCAATTTACTATAGGTGTCCCCTAGCTTTCCTCCAGCCACAATTGACTGCATGTATGCAATGCAATGGTCATGTATGCTCCTGGGCAGGGGTGTGCTTCTGTAGCAAATGCACTTCACTATAATGCACGTTCAAAAAACCCGCACCCCCAATGGTGCGGGATATTTTTCAAATCTTTCTGACTTCAAAATATACCGGGTCATACTCCATTGGATCGGGCTTGGAGAGCTTTCTGAATATGGTCTCAAAATTATCATAGGGCATATATTTTGGGAGTTAAGGTATCCTTTATCCACCCTCTTTGGCAGAAACATGGAGTGTGGCAGCAACTATCAAAATGCATAGTCGTCTTCACTGTGCATCCAAGGAATGCACACTAAAAGTCCATCCCTTGGACATTTTTCCAATACTGGTGCCCCTCCACTCTCAAGCTTGGCGTTGTACTGTCTTGTGTGGCTGGCATCTGTCGTGGGCTGAGTGAAGCTTGTACAGTCCTGGCGGTTGTGTGACTAACACTAAAAAGCTGCGCCTGCAGGTCTGCAACAGCTGCAACCTGCGCTGCGATTTGAACGGCGTCCCCATGGAAGCAAGCCTCGTCGGCCGCTTGCAGCACCGCAACCTGGTGCGCATCAATAACACCTATAGAACCCCCGGCTGACGGGGGCCGGTACAAATACTGAGCGTCATCTTATATTTAAATTCGGACCTGGAATAGTGCCATTTCTCCCTCACTGCCTTTAGTGTGGTGGGCACATTGTCTCCTGCAGGGCTTGTTTTAGTAAATCACCGTCAAACGGATGTGTTTTAGGACATGCAAACAATAGGGCCTCGGCTCGCGGGGGGCGGTTTGAATTCCGAGCACCGTGTGGTTGGTTGGGTCTTGCTTGGATCTGGCGAGTCCAACAAGGAATAGGAAAATTGGCAGCCTTTACATGCAGCTTGTCTGCAGACGCACCTTACCTTCGGCAGGAAAAGCGTGTAATAATAATAATAATAACTAGGGAAGCCCTGAAAAATATCGCGAGGGGTTCTATGTAGGGTTTTCGCCTGATTGTTCCACAGGACCCTTGTAAAACCCTAACATGTCTTGGGAGATTTCTTTAAAAAATGTAGGGTGTGACCTGGTGCTGCTGCTGGTTGGCCGCCTGCCAGCACTGCAACCTCTCACCCTTACCCCTGAAATCCCTGAGATAGGGTTTATGTTTATGGGTGTCTGGCAGAATCGCTCTCATTGAGTTGTGCCCTTGAGGAACACTTCAAGAACTCATGTTGCAAGCAGAGCGTGTTCTTCTTATTATTGTACAGTGCAAAGAATTCCTGGTCGCTGTTGCTGCGCGGTGATCTCAGGAGTCCGTGCGAAGGCCTTTTAAACCCCCCAAAACCCCCCTTTTTACCCCTCCTAACAAAGGGAAATTTGCCTAAAAAAGCCCTCTTACTGGCGCACAGGTGCGCACGCTGGAGACGGCCAAGGCGCAGCGGGATCCGGGGGGACCCCTGCGGGCCCCCTCCCTAGGCAGGGGGGACCAGCCATCGGCAGCGGTCAGAGCGGCGCTTCAGGTACGATGCTTGAGCATCGTTTTGAGTTTTGATAATACGGAATCTTTTGTTTCTCCCTCCCCTTGGCGCCCATTGAACGATCAGGGCATCTTAAAGTAATCTAGGGGGTAGGGTTTAGGAGCCCTCCCTGGGCGGGGAGGATGACCAGTCATCAGCATCAGTCACAGCGGCGCTGCAGGTACATTGCTTGAGCGTCATCTTAAATTCAAATTCGAATTTGGAATAGATTTTCCCCTCACTGCCTCTTGTGTGGTGGGCACATTGTCCCCTGCAGGGCTTGTGTTAGTACCTCGAAGTCAGACGGATGTGTTTTGCGACATGCAAACAACAGGGCCCCGGCTTGCGAGGGGCGGTTTAAATTCCGAGCACCATGCCCACGGTTGATAGGGTCTTGCTTGGATCTGGCGAGTCCAATAAGGGATAGCATGTAGCCTTTGACTGCAGCTTTGTCTGCAGGACGCACCTTGCCTCTTGCAGGAAAAGCATGTAATAGTGTAAGAACCCTAACAACAGTAACAAAGAGCAGGCGTTTTGTGGCGTTCAGTTCCTTTGAATAGTGCCAGACTGCTTGCCTTTTGGCCTGGACGTATTTGACAAAAATCAAACATTCGTGTAAATTTTCCTGGGGGCGTCCTTTTTGGAGCGGCTTCTGTGGCTCGCTTGACTAAGCAGGTGGCTGACTGGACTGCATGCCAGCTGTCATTCAGCCCACCAGAAAATGGTCACATTGCAGATTTGCAGAAAATATTCCATGGGAGCTCTGTCCAGTCATTCATTGGCATCCAGATCAGCTTATTTTGAAGCTTGATCCAAGTCAGAAGTTGATAGATAATAATCTTATTTGTAGGCGACCGCGATAGAGCGGGCGAACAGCGACCGTCTGCTGGAGGAGACATGGCTGCTGCTGGAGTATTGCGACATGGGCTCTCTCATGGTGAGTCATCGCCCTTTCGAATTTGAATGCACAATGTGAATTTGAACTAGAGTTATTGGCTTGTGGAAATGCTTGGAGAACGATGTCCGGCTATTGCAGAACAGTGCCTAGTGCAGACCCAAATCCAACGGGCAAGTTTATGGGCGGTGAATGGCCCACACCACAAGAGGAAAGCAGCGGCTGGGATTAGTTGGGAGCACTTATCGAAAAATCTCCATACCTATTCTATCTGTACTGCGGGGGCAACGCAATTACTGAGCACGGTGCTCACGGTTGTTTTGGTCTTGCATGCATCTGGCGAGTCCAATAAGGGTGTTGAGTTTTGTCCTAAAACTCTGGACGAAGACAAGAAATGGAATTTAGGGGTGGTCCCTGTGGCATCCGTTTCTGGCAGCTTGTCCGCAGACGCAGCTTGCCTCCTGACAGGAAAAGCGTGCGGACTTACCGTGCGGGATCTCTGGCAGGCGCTTGCTTCCGAGGAGCTGAGCAGGTCTGCGCTGTGCCCTGCAGGACGCTATAAACAAGACCTGGTTCAGGTCCTGCTCCAAGGGACCGGCGAATATGCGCATGGTGCTTGTGACGGCGCATGAGATGACGGCCGGCCTCTCATTCCTGCACTCTCAGGGCCTTGTGCACGGCGATTTGTCATCTGGTGAGTCATCAAATCACCTGATATCATGTAAGCTCATGCGAGCGCACATGGGGGAGCAGGGAATACCGATTTCCTACCTCAGCGCTTATGGATTCACTTAGCAGCTCCAGTTCGAACTGGTGCATTCCCAGGCCTTGTGTACGGTGAATTATCGTCCTATGAGTCACCCGGCTCACTTAATCTCACCTCACCTCTTCTGAGCTGGCCCACAGGGAAGCTCTAATACGAGCTCACTGGTTTTCTGACACTAAAAGTTCGAAAGCCCAAAAGCCCCGCTTGATTGCTTCGGCCTGTGCACCCGCCACCTGTGCTGATGAGCGCAGCATGAGTTCCGACATGAGTTCAGAACTATCATGAGCCTTGCAGAGCTTGCGTGCAGTGCTACGCCAAAAAGAGAGTTTCGAGGATATCAGGTTGCTGCCGAGGAGTCCTGCAGTATAATGTCATCAAATAAAAGGCAGCCTTGCACCTGACCAGCAAAGCAGTCCTTCAAGGTTCAGGGTTTGACTTTGACTTTGGCTGCGAAATTGAAAGAATTCGTTGCGTGCAGGCAACGTGCTGCTGGCGTCCTCACCGGATTCGCCCCACGGCTTCAGCGTGAAGATTTCGGACTTTGGCCTGTCGAGAAACATGGACATCCAGAGCCGCATCGAGACAAAGACCACCGGCACCGTCAACTACATGCCGCCCGAAGTTCTGAGCGATGGCATTGTCAGCAAGGTGACTCACCATTTTGCAATATATTAGTACCGACATTTACTAATAGTTTGTATGTTGCCACCTGTGAAGTACTACCCCCCCCCCCCCCCCCCCACCCCATCCCTTCCCCCGCCCTCTCCCTATAAAGTCCGTTGACACTATATTGCATATTATGTATTGCATATTGCATTATGTTGCATCCATCCGTGCCCATGATGATGCTCAGTATATACACGAGCCCCCACCAGTCGGGGCCAAGCTGTAGGGATGGCAAAAGCCTGCATTGAATGCATGTTGCGCTCGCCGCGACAGCTGTCGCAGCATTCGGCAAAAAATTTACAAACTAGCATCGGAGAGAATGTGGCCTCTTGACATTCCAATTGCTGTGCGCGCAGGCGGCTGATGTGTATGCGTTCGGGGTGCTGGTGTGGGAGATTGTATGTGGAGTGAGGGCCTGGGAAGGACTGACTCCGCCACAAGTCATGCTCGCTGTGGCCTGCCAGCACAAGCAGCTGGCCTTCCCCAACTGGGTTCCCACGGAGATTGCCAAGTGAGCCTCCTATTTGATTTTTTCTGGGAAATTTAAGGTTAAAATATTCCTGGCCGAAGTTGCGCCCCTCGGGCGATTTGGCAAATATCGGCAGAGGGCATCTTTCATGTTCAGAAGAGAGCCAAGCGCGTCGCTTCCACAATTGGGTCCTGCTTGGAACTGACGATTCCATTAAGGGGTCAGACACGTGACAACCTGTAGTTGCAGCCTGCCTACGCACACACCTTCCCTATGGCAGGAATAGCGCATGATAATCATTTTGGAGACAACCGTCTCCGCCGCCTACCTGGAGACGCACCTTGCCTCTGGCAGGAATAGCTAAGATCAAGTCAAGATCAATATTTATGATATTTCTTGATTCTGAGATATTATTGCCTGCTCCTCCAGGCTGTGCCACGAGTGCATGGAGGCAGATCCTCAGCAGCGGCCAACCTTCAAAGAACTCGAGCGGCGGCTCGGGAATCATCTCGGGAAGCTCCAGGCGACCGACTCCATGGACCTCAAAAACTTCCGGGCGTTGTCATGCCCTTAGTCACCGTTGATTCACCTCTGACTCAGCGCCCTTGGGCATTGAGACGGGGAGTTACTGTGCGGTAAGGGGCCTCCTGGGGGCGGTGAGTCACCGATGAGTCACCAAATGAGTCATCAGCGGTACCAGCGAGCTTGGCTGCCGTGCATTGCGAGACCTGCGGACTTTCTTGGCGCGCGCATTCGTTGCCCCCGAGTCTCTGCATGAGTCGTCGGTAAGTCAAGTGGCGAGGAGGTTTCATCGGCCGCGGCTCGGCCAATTAGTCATCTGCGCTGGTGCATGCGCATGTGGAGCAAAGCAGGGGAAATAAACAACGGGGCCTCACATGGGCAACATGATTTTTGCAAAACCCTGAAGCTATTGAGGGTTGCGGCAGGGTTTTGAGGGTGATCATAAGGATCAATTCTCCTGAAAGGTCAATTGTTTGGCTTGGGTTCGTCCGATATTTTGCACACACCGGCTGCATGCTGCTCCTGATGCAGCAAAGAGTGCAGCAATTGACCTCACAGGGGCATTGCTTCATCAGAAGTGCATTCGCTTGAGGAACTTTTTTGCAGAAGAGTGCAGGCTTGTTAAACCCTACAGGAGCAGCTGCTTTAATCACCATCAGATACCCCGGGGGTAGCGCAGGGTTTTGCGCTGAGGCCATCGATTTGATTCCGAATAAGATATCCGTGCCTGCCGTGAGTGCACAGGCAGGCCTGGGGCTCAGATCAGCATTCAAGGCTCAATCCAGTTGATGACTGCACACTATAAAAGGTGATGCAGGATGTTGTGAATCTGGGGTCCTGATGACACCACAAGATCAGACAGGGTGCTGCAAGTATGGGAGTAAACTGTCCTGTCATTGTTGATTGCAGACGAGGGGTTTTCCCGACCCTTGGGGGAAGGGTGACCAAACATCGGGAGAGTTGCCCACAGCCTACTCAGAGGCTTGGGGCTGAAGCAATAGATGCACATTTTGCCCACATGTTGTCAAAGGACCTGTCAAAATGCAAAGAGCGTTGTTCTAGGCACATCAATAGTTTGTACCCACCTCCGTTACTGATTCTTTGCACCAGGCCTTCCTCGCAGCCCCTTTTCTGCGCCGCCGGGGAGATTATCACGCAGAAAATGTGCTTCGAGGGGTTTAGGGGCCTCTTTTTGCTTGAAAACCTACTTCTTGTGTACAGATGAGTAGTTTGATGAGACAGAGCCTCGTTGTTTCTTTGCTACGTGTAGCAACGGTGTGCACGAAAAGGTGTGCTCCAAAATATTTTATTGGTATTGATGCGCCGATTTTGGCGCGCTACCAATTTATGGAGGTGTCTTTTGAGATGAGCTTGGCAGATGTCCTCCCCTCAACTTGCTGACAAATTCGCCCGCGGCCCAAATATGCATTTGCTGATAAAAGTATCAATGCATTCTGCGGCCTCACTGGGTGTATTTCACACTAGCAGTTGTGACCGGACAATTAAGCGCCAATGTGTGTGCCAAGTTTCTGTTGCCACAGCGTTTGCATGCGAGTATTCGTAATGGTGTTTCATCTGTGATAGGATCTCCTTTCAGGGAAATTATCAGCGCTGATCACATTTCAGCAAGCTCACAAAGGTTGACCGTGGCATTAGGGGCTCTTTGCACATGCTCTATTTTGGTTATTGACAGGTATGCTGACTCCAATTTCAGAGTAGTGCAGACGCTTGGTCTTTTAGTTGTGCTTGGAGTTTCTCTCTTGTATCATCCAGCCAAGGCAGCTGCGCATCAGCTGCTGGCTCCTTTTGGACCTTTTTTCAGGTCAATTATGGGGCTGTGAACATGCCTCTCAGTGGATTGAAGCTCAGTTCGTCCTGCTGTGTGAATCTTGTGATAGGTTGCTTGTCTGGCGTTCTGTACTGATCTGCAAGGATGACATCAGCTAACTGGTTCGGTCTGTCTTTGAAAGGGATGAAATCAGTATTGCCATGTTTGTGATGCACATCTAAACTCTAGGCAGACAATGTCCGCCAAGGAGATTTGCAGAATTTACCATTCAATGGTCACCATTGAGACCGCATTCCATATGCATAGCTATTCTTTTTGGCAAATCCCATGCACAACATTGGTAATTTCATACCAGAGGGCAGGAGAAGTTCTCCTGGAGAACTCACAAGTTATTCAGAATGCTGTACATAACATTATTATTTCCCATTCAACGTTTCAGGAATCAAGATAGCCAAGAGAGGGCTAGTCTGGGCATCCACATCACCCTTTCTGGCCAGTCTCTGCTTTGGCTGATCTGCAAGCGCATGCACATTGCCTCATCTGGCCGTACTTTCTGCGGTGCCTGATCTGGCAACGCGCGTTGCTGCATGCACATGTGCAGAGTCTGATCTGGCCAATTCACTAGCATGCGGCGGCCAGCAGTGAGCTCAGCTGCGCATGCGCGGCTTCATAAGCCGGCCCCTGCGCCGAATCTTCAACCCAGCATTCATGCACAAGCCGCCAGTACTCTACATAGCCTCCCTGCATGTATGAGCGGGTCTAGGCTCGCACGGCGGCTAGCATCAAAGTAAGATTGGCAAGCGCGGCTTCAAATGTCGGCCGCCGCGCCAAAAATGCCCAAAATTTATTCATGCAGAAGCCGCTTGTGTTCCACAGAGCCTCCTTGCATGTATGAACGGGTCTAGGCTCGCGCAGCGGCTAGCATCAAAGTAAGATTGGCATGCATGGCTTCAAGTGTCGGCCGCTGCGCCAAAAAATGCCCAGCATTCATAAAGAAGCCGCTTGAGCTTCACATAGCCTCCTTGCATGTATGAGCGGGTCTAGGCTCGCGCGGCGGCTAGCATCAAAGTAAGATTGGCATGCATGGCTTCAAATGTCGGCCGCTGCGCCAAAAAATGCCCAGCATTCATAAAGAAGCCGCTTGAGCTTCACATAGCCTCCTTGCATGTATGAGCGGGTCTAGGCTCGCACGGCGGCTAGCATCAAAGTAAGATTGGCAAGCGCGGCTTCAAATGTCGGCCGCTGCGCCAAAATTGCCCAAAAACTATTCATGCAGAAGCCGCTTGTGTTTCACCAAGCCTCCTTGCATGTATAAACGGGTCTAGGCTCGCGCGGCGGCTAGCATCAAAATAAGATTGGCATGCGCGGCTTCAGATGCCGGCCCCTGCGCCGGTTCTTCAGCCCAGCATTCATGCACAAGCCGCAAGAGTTCTACATAGCCTCCTTGCATGTATGAGCGGGTCTAGGCTCGCATGGCGGCTAGCAGCACCCTGTCTGATCTTGTGGTGTCATCAGTACCCCAGACTGAAACTATCCTGCAGCACTTTTTATAGTGTGCAGTCATCAAATGCATTGAGCCTTCAATGTTGATCTGAAAGAGTACCAGGCCTGCCTGTGCACTCACGGCAGGCCCGAATAGCGTATTCGAAATCAAATCGATGACCTCAGCGCAATACCCTGCGCTACCCCAGGGGTATCTGACGGTGATTAGAGCATCTGATGGTGATTTAAAGCAGCACTTTGAACAAGCCTACACTCTTCTGCAGACACATCCTCCCTCTTTCCTCAGCTGATGCACCTCTGATTAATCAACGCCCCTGTGAGGATTGCTGCACTCTTTGCTGCATCAGGAGCAGCATGCAGCCAGTGTGTGCAAAATCGGACGAATCCAAGCCAAACAATTGACTGTCCAGGGGAATTGATCCTTATAGTCACCCTCAAAACCCTGCCGCAACCCTCAATAGCTCAGGGTTTTGCAATTAATCATGTATGATGACAGCCTGCTATGCACTGCCCATGTGAAGCACCGTTGTTCCTTTCCCCTGTATTGCTCCACATGCGCGTGCACCAGCGCAGATGACTAATTGGCCGAGCCGCAGCCGATGAAACCTCCTCGCCACTTGACTCACCAATGACTCATGCAAAGACTTGGGGGCAACAAATGCGCGCACCGAGAAAGTCCGCAGATCTCGCAATGCACGGCAGCCGAGCTTGCTGGTGCTGCAAGCATCAAACTCAAGATTGGCATGCGCGGCTTCAATTGTCGGCTACTGCGCCGTTTCTTCAGCCCAGCATTCATGCACAAGCCGCCAGTACTCTACATAGCCTCCCTGCATGAATGAGCGGGTCTAGGCTCGCGCGGCATCAAAATAAGATTGGCATGCGCGGCTTCAAACGTCGGCCGCTGCTCCGGTTCTTCAGCCCAGCATTCATGCAGAAGCCGCCCGTGTTTCACAGAGCCCCTTTGCATGCTCAAGCTTGTCTAGGCTCGCGCAGCGGCTAGCATCAAAGTAAGATTTGCATGCGCAGCTTCAAAAGTCGGCCGCTGCGCCGGTCTTTCGGCCCAGCAGTCGTGCAGAAGCTGCCGGTACTCGGCCGGGGCGTCCTCCGGGACCCGCGGCCGGCCGCCGCAGAAAGAGCTGTACAGCACCTGCGCACATAAGCCGGCACTTGTCAGCCTTGTTTGTTATACACAGTGGGCATTTCCGGCTTGCTCTAACCACCCCAGCTGTGAATGTGGATTTTTTGGCGTGAATCAGCCCGATTTGGACACCCAGACAAGCCTCTATATTTCAAAGTGTCATTGTCATTACCAAACGCTTGTTCTGTCAAAGGCAAGGTACATCCTGTCAAACAAGCTGCAGCTGAAGGCTGCCAATCTGCCCGTTGTTGTTGGTTGATGCAAGGCCCACCTAAACCTCACCATTTTCAAACAGCCTCCCGAGCCACGGCACTTGATGTTCAGTAGTATTAAGCGGCGCTGTGCTCCGGAAGAGAGCCATGCTTGCAATCTGGGGCAAGTGCTTGGACAATGACCATGGTAAGATGAGGTGAGAATGCAGCATTATTATCCACTGCTTCACAAATCCACATTCTGGGTGGATCTGCAGGATGGCTCACCCCCTGGTGATTATTTGCGGCATATGACTCGCTGCTGCCCCACATCTCCAGCAGCAGCATTGCAAAGCTGTACACGTCAGCGGCCTTAGTCACCTCGCCCCTCTGGAGCACCTCCGGAGCCACGTACGCCAGCGAGCCTGGATAGATGAGTCAGCATGGGTGCATCAGCACATGCAAGGGTGAGTCAGCATGGGTGGACCCAGCACATGCATAGGTGAGTCAGTACGCGTGAGTCGCCGCGGTGTCAGCATGATTTGGGTGAGCACAGTCTGCTTGAATGAGTCAGCACGGTAGGCATGGGTGAGTCAGCAGAGCTTAGTCAGTGCAATGAAATGACCTTGAATTTCTGGTTTAGAGGGCAGTGTGAGCTACAACAGGGACCCAGTGAAAAGCGGCTATAGAATGGTGGCAGGTAAAAGAAATACATGTGCTGTGATAAAGGCTGTCATATGCACAGCTGCAGATCAGGGCGGCTGGCATGCAGGCAGTGCATCTTTCCCTCTTATGTTCACTAATGGCCGCCCTTTGGGTTCAACTGAAGGACAATTTATCATTATCAGTACAATTATTTGACTGCAGGAAAATAGTTAGGAGAAGAATTCTCACGGAGAAGAATATCTCACCGAGGCTGTCGGTGACAGTGTGGGTAGTTCCAGTTGCCAGCAACCGAGCCATCCCAAAATCGGCGATCTGCGCATGCGTGCAAGGTTTCTTTTGATGTCTTACCGAATCCAATGTGGCTCTTAACAATAAAATGTGGCGTTTCTGTGGCGCCTGAAGTACCTGTGGGTGTCCCACTTAAAAGCTACCGGTTGGTTCCTAAAAAATTCACCCACCACCGAAAGAAGGCACAAATAATTCCTTTTCAGCAAAAATGCGCCCAAAAACACCCATTTCAAAAGAAATATTCTAATTCGTAGTCACTTTCGTGACTTCAGAAAATTGAACCTAGGATAAAGTTGTATCCACATTGGCTTCCAGCTAGAATCCTCAAAAGAGACACTGATGCCAACATCAGGGAAATTGACATTTCTGCTTTGGCATGAGATAGGACAAGGGACATCTCAGGGAAGGTGTTTTCCGTGGCAGTATAGTCATGCATAGTCATACGTAGTCATGCGTAGTCAGCAGCATACTCATGAGTGCCCCACCATCAACCTGGTGTGGCTCATATCTCTAACACAGTCCATGTTTCGAACACCAGAATATTTCATCAAGACATTAGTTTTTCTGAAGCAAGTCTTCTCAAATGGTTTTGCTAATTTTACTCTTGTTAATGCATGCTCTTTCCAACAAAAAGCAAGGTGCGCCTGCAGACAAGCTGCAGTTGAAGGCTGCCACAATCATGACAATCATGACATTAAAATTGGCTGGACCCTAAACAGTGGTACAGTGGCGTTTTCTGGTATTTGGGTTGTAAGTGTTCTTCAATTAGCGAGCTAAATCACCTTGCAGATGAAACCCCTTGGGTCTTCAGGGGTTTTAGGGGCGCTCATCAGTAAGATGTTGGCGGGTTTGAGGTCTGCATGCACGATTTCCAAATGGTGTAAGTACCCCATCCCGGCAGCAACGTCCATGCCACACAGCAGAATTGCCTCCTGCGAAATGATGTATATTGTTATTCATATTCCCCGCATTTCCTGCCAAGAGGCAAGGTATGGCCTGCAGACAAGCTGCAGTCAAAAACTGCCAAAATCCTAACTCTTGTGCAAAATAGCAGACAGAACGTCAATGTACTGGGCCTTGAATGGTGCTACTGAACTGAGTTTGTGCATCCATTATGACAGACACATGCATTATAGACTCAAGCTTGTAACCACACCCACTAATAAGAAAAGGAAGACCTGACACTGACTGAATTGGATCCTCACTACCGCTCCTCTGTCTCTATCAAAGCCAGTTTCTCCAGGGGGGCAATCCACAAGCCCCGTTTTCCTAGAATACAGACACTGGACAGCTATTGCAGTGACACAGCGATGGGCACCTAAACCTCAATTACCAATTTCTCCGAGCAACAATCTTTATGTGTTTGTTGTGGATCACGACTGCCAGGCAGGCACAGCAGTGCACCAATACGGTGATGTGAGGGGGGTCTAAAGTGACTTCTGGAGTAGCTCTAGATGTAAGGTACCCGTAAACCCCAAATGCAGAAGGCTCACCAGGTTTCTGCAGAGGCGGCCTCGGGAGATGGCGGAGTGGAGGGAACGCTGCGTCGCCAGCTCCATGACTATTAAGAGCACCTGCCCCTGCACGTGTGGCGGCTCCGGGGACGGCGAGGGTTCTCTTAGGGTTGACCCCTCAAACCTCTTGCTGCTCCCCAAACAGCTGCCGCTTGTGCTTGCATCAAACAATTTATCTGCAAAAAAACGCCTCAGTCAGATTTACATCTGCCGTGGGACAGAATTCTGAGATAATGTGCTCGTGGCAATGTGATATGCCTAGAGCTGAATCCAAGTAAGCTGCCTAGAAAGGTAAACCTCACAGGGTCCTTAATTTTGTCACTTACATTTGCTCGCAGGCATCTGAGCATCGTGCCCACAATTGATTAGGTCTTGCTTCGATCTGTCGAGTCCGACAAGGGGTCGGATTGCGGCAGCCTTTACATGCAGCTTGTCTATAGATGCACCTTGCCTGTTGGCAGGCAAAAGCGTGTAAATAACTATAAAAACATATGGGGACCTGTCGCCCGTTCAACAGCCAGAGCTAGCAGCAATCTCTGCGTCTGTCAAAACCTCAATTCCCAAGGATTGAATACATTCGCTATGTCCTGACCATGCCAGAGTAATGTACATACAGGCACCTCTCATGAGAGCCCATGTTGGGTTTAAGAGTCTGCGCGCACCACTTGATACGTCGCGGCTCGCACGGCTGGTCGGCTGAGCGGCGGCGTATCCGCCAGACGCCGGCTGCGCAGCTGCATCCGAGAAACTGTGGCCGATGCCCAGCAGCACGCCGGCTGCCCCGGATAGACTACAGCTGCCGCTGTCGGCTGAGACGGAGCGGCCGGAAGCCGCGGCAAAGGCGTACCCGCCGAACACTGGCTGCGCCGCCGCTTCCAAATGATTGTGACTGTTGTTTGGCGGCACGCCAGCCTTGGCGGAGCGGCTCCGGCTGCCGCTGGTGGCCGAGACGGCGGCGCCGGCCGGCTCAAGGTCGAACATCGACTGCGCCGCCGCGTCGGGGAGACTGTAGCCGATGTTCGACGGCGCACAGGCCGCGGCGAAGCGGTCACAGCCGGCGTCGGCAGCCAAGCTTGCGGCGCTGGCCAGCTCGAGGCTGACCATTGGCTGTGCCGCCGCGTTGGAAGAGTTTTCGCTGATGCCCGGCAGCACGCCGGCCGTGCCGGAGCGGCCACAGCCTTCACGGCCGAACGAGACGGAAATGGCAGCCGGATCAGGGGCGCATCCGCCAAACATCGGCTGCGCCACGGCATCGGAGAAGTTGTGGCTGATGCCCAGAATCGCACCGGCCGCGGCGGATCGGCTGCGGCCGCCGCCGCCGCCGCCGCCGGCCGCCACCGGCAAGGACGCCGCGGCGCGGACCGCCGTGTCAAACGGCGACACCAGCAGCGGCTCTGTGGCGGCGCGCGATGATTTGTAGACTCCCTGGCGGTCCAGAATGCCCCGCATCTGCGCGCAAGTGTAACTTATTCACCCTTTTAAGAGGCGTAATTACCCCTAGAGCAAATAGCGTGGAAAAATCTATATCTAACTAGTTATATGAATGTTTATCCCCCTTAATAGCTCCAGTAAGTGGGGTGGGGGTGATTGTTGGGTTGGGGAGCGCAGGGGTAGATGAGGTGGGGCAGCTGCAGCGATAGGCAACCTTGCGTCCCTTCTTCGACTGGTTCTGAATGTTTAACGGACAAGCCGGCACTGGCTTAATGCACTCCTGCTCCGCATGCCATGCGGCAGGGTGCCCGGCTGAGAGCTCTTCAGAGAGTAAGTAAATCTTTTTGCATGTTACAAGTGTCTCACCGAGGGAGCTTCGTCGTCGCCGCCCCAGAACCTATCCTCTTCTTCGATGACATAGGCTGCCGCCGCCGCAAACGCGCTGATGCCAGCCGGGGGTTCCAAGTTGCTCGCCGCGGCAACCGGCGCCGCGGTCTCCTGCAGTGATTCATCTCCGCTGAAGCTGAGCTCTGTGAAGAACACAGCATAGCTGTCTGCTTCGGGTGGAGCCCTTGAAAGGTCATCCGATTTCGAATTCGCCCCGGCCGGAGTCGTTATGCCTCTCTCTGGGGCGGCGCAGGTGCCGCTCAGCTTCCTGGAGAAGCCCCGGTGGAGCTCACAGGCGGCTACCGGCGGCTGCACAGTCAGCACCTCGTAGGTCGCCACCTGGGCAGCATTAATTTGTCAGCCGCTGCTGACTCAGCCGCTTGATGAGTCACCAGCGCAGATTGCAATTTCCCGACGCCCGTGCGCAGATTCACTTCTGGAATCTACAGGTGCCAATGCCAGCAGGCGTTGCTGCGACACTAGCCATATCAGGATGTTTGCCTTTATCCATAACTTGCACCTTTACAGCTGCAAGAGCTGCGCCTATGCTCTGCAGATCAGATCTGCAGATTCAGATCATAAACCCTGCAAAATACCTTTCCGAAGGGGCGCACCACGTTGGGGTGGTGCATGTTTGCCGACAGGAGAGACTCCAGCCGGTCTTCAGAAATAGAAGCATCGGTGTTGCGGCTGCACAGCACTTTGATGGCCACTGCTTTACCGTGCCATTCTCCTGCAGACAAACTCTATGCGTTCATAGGCATGCTCTGGTAAGGGGGCCAGCAAACTGCAAGCCAACAACTTGGCAGGAGGCCAGCTCTGATCTGACTCAACACAGCAAATGCATCTCGAGAAGGACGTGTTGAGAGGCATGCTTGCAGCTGCCTGGTAATCGGGCCAGCAGGCTGCAAGCCAGTACCTTGACAGGACAGGCCAGCTCTGATCTGACTCAGCCCTGCAATGGCACCTTCAGATGCAAAGATTCAGAGGCATACTCGCAGCAGCCAGTGACAAGGACAACAGGATCCAAATCAGTGAGAGAACTATATTCTACTGGTGTTCTTAAGATTACAATCAGCAGCATCCGCGCATGCCAACACAATCACTACTGCACGCTGTTCCTGCCAGGAGGCAAGTTGCTTCTGCAGACAAGCTGCAGGTAATGGCCGCTGCCTGACCTACCCCTTGTTGGACTCGCAGGATCGAAGCAAGACCCAATCAATCGTAGGCACAGTGCTTTCATTTGTACCGGCCCCCGCCAGCCGGGGCAGACCGTATTATCTGCCTAAACATGGTGCAAAAAAACTGCAGAGCTGGCTGGCTGTGAATGTGACACGGCAGGCCAGAACAGGAGTCGGAGGGCGCACCGCTATAGATGCGTGCGAAGCTGCCGCTGCCGATAAATTTCCTTAAGGTGAGGCCGGGCACAGCTGGGCAGGTCGAGGTGGGGGCAGCGGGTAGTCCGGGCAGGCTGCCCATAGAGCCCTGTGTGCTGACGGAACTGTTCTGCTTCGACAGAGAGCTCTGGCTGCTCGGTGCCCTGGGCAGGTCGCACGACGATGGCCTCGTGAGGGACGATGCCCCGCTGCCGCCGCTGCAGAGCATGCGGCGGACGCTCTGCACGACGTGGCAGGGTGCGTGGACGGAGGGATGTGGCAGAGAGACGTTGCACATGTCCATTTGCTCGAAGACATCTTGCCTACGAAGGTGAGTTGGGGAGGAGGCGCCCATCCCCCGTCCTGTCTCGCCTGCTGGCCCCTGCACAGGCCACAACTCGTCTGTAGTGTCTGAAAGAGATGACACTATCAAACAACATCCTTTAACTTTGCAGCTGCTGACCCAAAGCAATTCAGAGAGCTGTTCTGACGTAAGGCGTCGAGCATTTCAGGACTATCACTCGTTCCGAAAGCTGCTGTGCACGCGCGCACCATGTGTTTCGAATGCTTCAGGATGAATGAATGAATCGCCTCCTTGGTGCGGCCTAGAGACTTTTCACAATAACGCGCTCGACACGCTCTCGACCTGTCGCAATCACATCACGTTCAGAACATCTGGGGCAGATGTTTCGCGCAACAGGTCTCCGCTGCTAAATTCATCTGGAATTCAGGCAGCCTACCGCAGTGATTCCTCCAGCGTCCTGGTAGGTCTGCTCTGCAGCTCTCCTGATCAAGACAGCAGTTGAGCTCTGAATGACTGCGCTCACGGATCCTTTGGCGAAGTCGTCAACTGCCATGCTCAGGATCACACGCAGTTCTTTGGAAGCTACTCGTTCTCTGACCTTCACGAGCGTAGCACCTCCGTCTCGTTTTTGTATGGGACCCCATTCGCCCTTCCGGAAAAATCCTCGAAAGATCTGCCCACGTGGGACGACTTCCAGGATTTTCATCATAAGATGACGCTTTTCGGAGGCTTTCTGTGGGCAACAACAGTCGTGACTCACCAAAGGCGTGATCTAATCTGCAATCGGCGACCACTCATCACTAGCTACGGATCATGTGATATGATGATGCATGCAGCTGCACGTGAAGACTTCTTAGTCCCCAATGATATGTATTTCAGTATGTGTTGAGTCACATCAGCCGCCGATGTGTAGTCGTGCTGATATGCCGGATTTTCGGTACGGTGTGTTCTTTGTGGTTTCTGGCAAAGGGCAACGGCTTCCCAATGTTCTCTATGATAGGATGAATAGGGTGATCCAGGCTCACTTTTTGTGAAGGTGTATATTCATGTTCACTGAATATATATATAATATATGGCACACATAAATACTTCATATAGGGGTAGGAATTTGGCAGCCTTTACATGCAGCTTGTCTGCAGACGCACCTTGCCCTCGGCAGGAAAAGCGTGTAATAATAAAGTACTAATGTATAAACACTGAGCACCGTGCCCACGCTTGATTGGGTCTTGCTTGGATCTGGCGAGTCCATCAAGGGGAGGGACTTTAGCAGCCTTTACTGCAGGTTGTCTGCAGACGCACCTTGCTTCTGGCAGGAAACGCTTGTATTAATAATGATGATAATATGTTCATGCATGCACGTTACTCCCCACTTCATCACGTGATGATATGAAAAGCGACAAATCTAATATTCACAAACTGACATGCATGGCCGCCAATATCGGCACAGAGTGAGACACCCACCAGCAGCAAAGGTATTTACACAAGACTTTGCATGTGCATCGTCTTCCTTCGACAGTACATGAATTAATATTGACCTCTGCATAAATGAAGTCCGAAAGGCATCTTCTGAGCCATGCAACCCAGCACCGTGAATACACAAGCACCGGCTTGTCATGGTTTCAACTCTTGGCAGGAACACCATAAGGTGCTCTTTAAATTAAATTCACCCTCTCCACGCCCCTCACAGGGGAATGTAGATCTTAATTACTTATAGATACCCCTGCCCCCCAACCTGCCAATATGGCAGTGCAAATACATCACTGGCAGGTGCAGGAGCACTAAGACTTCTTCAAAACTTCTTTGAGATCTTCATCAGCTTATGGAAGCATGCACTATAGTAGCTACAATCCCACAGAACGTTGAACTTGCAGTGGGAATCGTCATTGCTGCATACCTCATGCATATGCTAGCTAGCAAGCAATCAAAGCTGAGCACACATTGAATACAGTCAAACAGTGCTCCACGAGTTGACCGTATGCAATAATAGTTAGAGCAGCTAGTAGCAGACCGGGAAGTTGCAAAATTGCTATGTCTGTTTTTGGTGCTTGTGTCCCGAAGAGGGGTGCCAAACACAGCATGCTCATAACCCAGGAATCTGTCAAATGTAGGCATATTCAACATTGTTGAGCCTCAATCGACTCATCGTTTTTAGCGGGGATGATGGTTGCACACGTTCCTTAACTGCACACAGCGCAAGCTTCAGAGTGGAGCTGTCAATTTTGAAAGCTGTCAAATTTGAAGCCACAGCCAAGGATCATCCATGGCATGACATGCATGATGTCAGATCCTGTCCAGTGAACACAAGAGACAGAAAGGGTAAATGTTGTACATATAAAGATATGTGCATCGTGACCCCTCTTGGTAACAACAAAAAGGTTCTCAAAATCTGGCTCACCAATCACCCAAGCACGTGCTTGCGCCTGCACAGACCTTGATGCACGCTGCCTGGTTTGCTGTTCAAACTTTGAACGCACACATAAATCAAAAATCGAATTGCCTAATCTGGCTGCTGACCTGATCGCCTGACCTGGAAAAATTGTATCTGTTGCTTCATCTGGCAACATACAAATCTCGCATGTGCGCACTGGCGCATGCATGCAGCCCCTTTTTCACAGGATTTAGGCTCTCGGCCGCGGCCAGCAGAGAAGTCAGCCGCGCATACACGTCGTTGAAAGTGGGCCGCTGCTCATGTTTGGCGGCCCAGCAGGATTGCAGCAACTCGCCGTACATGGCGGGTGTGTCGTCCGGGACGCGCGGCCGGCCGCCGCAGAACGTGCTGTACAGCACCTGCGTGCATGTGCCGGCACATGTCATCACACTACTGTTATCGTTATTATGACACCCTTTTTCTTGGCAAGAAGCAGGGTGCAGCAGAAGGCTGCCGAGTATATCCTACCCCTTGATGGACTTGCCATCCAAGCAAGAGCCTTATCAACCAGGGGCACGGTGATCAGTTTGTACCGGCACCTGCCACACGTTACTACTATGCACGCCAAACAGCTGCTGACAGGAGCTTTTTCTGCTGATCCATCCTTCCTGCAGGTGTTCAAGGCGGGATATCACACGGCTGTCCAACATTTGCACTAACAGCGACAGGCCCACTCACTCCCTGGTGGCTCTGTCCCGCAGAGGTGGCTTCGCCGCACCACATGCTGGGTAAACTTTCTCGAATTGTGTCTTGTTGAGCACTAAGAAGACCACAGGATCATCCTGTGTCAACCGGCTCATTGTGATGAGGATCTGGACCTCTCTTGGCATAAACTGCTTGCTACTAGAATTGAACTAGTGACAATCGGCGTCCACTGGATGGCGTGTGGCATATGATGTTGGCGCACTGGAGATTCGGATTCGAATTGAATTCAGTTCTGGCCACGGCATTGCGGCAGGGGGCCGTCGCAGCTCAACCGCGGAGCTGTTAGTAATCATCACCAATAACCGTAGTGACTAGTGCTAGCCCCAGCTGGCGCGTGGCGGAGTGAATACTGAGCACCATGCCCACGGTGACTAGGTCTTTGCCTCGGATATGGCAAGTCTTGTCGACGTCAAGCAGTAAGGTTTGCGGCAGCCTCTACCTGCAGCTTGTCTGCAGACGCACCCTGCCTCTGGCAGGAACAGGGTGTAATGTATAATAGTAGTGATCACAAGCTATGATATATCGCTATATAGCGCTGTCGTCGCTGATTACAGTCATGACAATGACAGCCACTGCCGTGACGGTAGACGCTCTATTTACAGTTGTCTGCAGCTTTGTAGGAAGGGACTCTGCCAGTGGCAGCTAGGTAAGTATGCCTTCACTGCCTTAGGTCTACTGCCTGTGGTACTACAACTGATAACTTTAGCCTCTGCTAGAGAGCCTCAGCCTGAGTGCGGGTACTACTGTGTAGAGGAGTACCGTGGTGACTACTGGACTTGCTAAGTGGGAGGTGGAAACTCTATATATTGGCAGTGTCCTGCATATTTGTATTGGCAGTGTCCTGCGTTTGTTGAAAGCCTATCGGACTGAGCCAGCTAACTAAGTCAACTAACGCGGCAGAGGGAGTACCATAGACAAGAGAAGCCTCTTCTTGTGGTCCCTCAGAGGCTCTGGCGCCAGCAGCCGGCAGCAGCCCTGTTGTCCCCACACTTGTATATCACTATAACCTGTCACTGGCACTGGCCTCATGACCCTCAGGGGGTACCAAAGATGACTTTGGACCCCCAATGACCCCGAAGACGGGGGACTCTAATCACCTGAATCATCATCAATTTAGAGTCCCCCGGAAAGAAGTTTCAGGGGTCGTCGCCCCAAACCTGGAACCCTATTGCATTGGGCAACACCCCTCCTCCCCTGCTTGCCTTCCAATAAAGTATCCGTAATGCTGTCTGCCGCATAGCAAACGCCTTTTTGAATAGTTTTGGCTGAGATGTGAGCCCTCAATCATGGGTATCTTCAGCAAAGGCAAGTCCAAGCAGAGCAAGTTCGATTTCTACATCCATGTTCACACACTTTCGCCCTGGCCAGCACAATATAGCAAGCTCGTATTGGAATGGCAGCGAGGAGGCAGCAGGAAGGGATGGACGAAGCCAGTCGGACCCACTGTGGGCCAGCCAGGCAGGATGTGGGCAACCTACGATATCGAGCAAGACTTCGCTGTGCCTTGCACTCTTTACCAGGTGATTGTTGGTAGCACTATTGGTCCCAAAAGCTTTTCCAAGCATAATGCATTGTTCTGAGGTATTCATTATGTTTTTGAAGTCACTACAAGTTAGTTTAGGATGCTGCACAAAGACTCAGTAACACTGTCTGGCCGACCTGGAAGCACACGCGCTCTATTGTCTGTCATTGGATCCTGTCAACTTTATCTATCGAGAAAAATGTCTTGCAATGTGTATCTGCGGTGTTTGTATTGCTTCAAAACGTAGATTGGGGAACCAAAGACTTGCTGATATTGCGAGAACAATGAAGTGGAGGCATGTTGTACACATTTCCTGTGTGCATTGATATTTCACCCTCGCAGCAAGTTCGCTAGTGGCAAGTGCAGCCTAAGAAGTTTAGGTGACAAGGCTGAATCTAGGCATGGGCCACCATTTCTGCCCACTCTGAGCGTTCCCTTCTGCTGCTGGACTGAAACAGAAGTCAATCGTTCACGCAATAAGAATTCTGGTAGGAACACGCCCTTTGCGGATGTGGGCAGAGGCCTGAGTCTTTTGGAGGTGCTGGGCCTGCTTTGATGGCTTCATGGGCTTTGCGCAGGCACACAACTCCCAGCAGCTTAGCTAAAATCGCTTGCTGTGCAGGGCCGATGTCAGGCCGATGTACAATGCCACCTAGCACACCACACCTGTCATCGCAACACCTCACACGCTGCAGCATCCCACATGCCAGTGTGTCATTGTGCAGGAGGGCAAGCCTCGGCCAGGGCAGCTGGGCCCTTTCGACAAGAAGTGGTTGATGCTGGCGGTGCAGGATCTGGCAGCTTCCAAGGCTGCTGCCGGGAAAGAGCCGCTCGGCCGCGTAGTCATCAACCTGGCCGACTTTGCCTGCGAGGACGGCCGCGCAACTCAGGCCTTCACTGTCGCCTGCTCCAGATCCATCTCTGCGGCTGTAGGAGAGGCCAAACTGCTGGTCACAATCGGGTGCGTGCCTGCAGCACCAACTTACTGCTGCACGCCACACGGCGTGACAGTATCATAGTGGCGTGCATGGCTTTGGTTTGAGTGGCATATTATTGTGGAAGACCTTGGAGTGAAACCTAATACCGTATTAGTGCTTCCATTGGTCATATCTTCTGCTGTCTGATGTACATCAGATAACAGAATTTACGTGCTGCCATCCTGGGTGCTTTGCGGGGTGGGGGATGCATTCAATGTGCCATGCATGCCCATGTCTCATGGGCCAGCAGCCACTTCCGATCTCTTTAAAGTCCGACCTCCAAGTCTGATTCCTGTGTCTGGAAAGCCTAAAGATTCCTTGCAAGCACGGAATGTGCCAGCTCCTTTCAGTCAGCATGCATGCTGACAAGCTCGTAGCCCCCAGATTGCAGATGGCTTTTGCCCAACCTGACCTGGGGTTGAGGGATGCAAATCATGACTGCCCCTTTCTCTTCACTCAAGGGTGGGGCATGTGACAGCATGAGCGTGCATGTGCCGGCAGGTGCGTGGTCGCTGACAAGGGCAAGCGCGGCGGCGGCAAGGATCTGCTGAGCACAATGAGCAGCCAGCAGTCCAGCGGGTTTGAGACGGCCGGTGCCGAGACAGATGAAGGTGCGCAGACAATCTGCGCAGCTCCTCACAACCCCTATCTGCAAGACTTCTTAGACAACAAATCTTTATTTTGGGCAAGGGTTTCCAATATAGATTAGAGAGGAGTCGAGACCAACCAAGGTGCTCACTTCCTTACAGCCCATCTGCAAGGCTATTAGAATGCAGTACATAGCTGTATGGGGCAAGGCCTTACAAGTTGAATACCAGAGGAACTCAGACCGACGAAGGTGGCGCCATGCACAATTCGCAGCTCCTTACACCCCATGTGCAATGCCTGTTAATAGTACGTTTTTTGAATGGCAACAAGGGCTTTCAGGTATAGGTCAGAGAGGAGACCGAGATCGACCAAAAGTATGCATGCCCATTGCGCAGCTCATCACAGTCCATCTGCAAGATTTGCGTGTGCAAATGCTGGCCAGGGTTTTGCATTGCACCTGAAGGAATGTGACCTGAGTCAAGTGTGTGGGGTCACATCGAGTTTGCGGCCACCCATGTGAGAGTTTTGGGATGCATGGGAGCTGATCATCTGGAGGGAATTTGCACGCAGACTCGGGGAGCTACCTGCACTCGGGCCGCAGCACGCCGCGGTCGTCCGTGATGATGTCATCGGCCTACGGCACCTCGGCCCGTAGCGCGGCCGAGCCGGCTGCGGCCAGCGCGCGCATCGGCGGAGGGCATGCGCGGCAGACGAGCGAGCAGTATGACGAGGACGGCTTCCTGCTGGATTCCGCGCAGCCCTCGCGTCGGGTGTGTCTCTTTCTGGAGCCCCTTGTGACATGTCATCTGCCCAAGGCTCTTCCCCTTGTCTTGTTGCATGCATGCAAGCTATGCTTCTCTCTCTCTTAGTCTCAGTCTCACGCCCTCTCAGCAAAGGAATGGGGCAGCGCACGCAGAGGTCTGCCCTATGTCTAAATCCAAAACCTGACCACATTCCGCGCCCAAACTACCATGCGGAATGCAGTGACTCGAACATGGGGCAGTTTGCTTTTTGAGATGGGTTGGCTCACCCAGCAGAACTTGCTGCTCCATGACCTATGACGCATCTCTACTTGCAGACACTCTACAATTTCCGCTGAACATTTTCCCGCTGAAATTAGTCGTGCTTCGCTGTGACAGGTCAGCGAGGCCGGGGCCGCCAGCTCATCAGCGCAGCCGTCACAGACCGTGCAGCGCGAGGGCCGCGCAGCAGACAGCGGGTCAGACAGTGACTCAGAGGACGATCTCCTGAGCCGGGTGCGCATGCATGCTTTTGTGTGCTCATCCGAATTTTTCTCCCACATAACGCACCACTTCGTGGTCAAATCTGTGGTAAACGTAATCTCAGGATTTGGGCTTTGTTTTCCTAGTTCCTTGGACTGTACAACATGCATTAATGACATGTTCTGCCATTGATAAGTGTAATGATAATAATCCTATCGATCCGGACTTTTCCTATGTGATGCATGACTCTGAAGCATGCAAAATCTGGACACAAGACAGAGCAATGTTAAACCAGCTATGTCCAACTGCATGCATCGCACAGCGCTGCTGAGCTTTTGGGGCCACCCCTAACAGATTTTTTGCCTGGATTCACGATTGGTGTTCTGATTGGTGGAGGAAGTGCAAGAACTGAGAAGACAGGAGAACTTTAAAGCGGGTGTTGCTTGACGTATGTATTCCTCTGGGACTGGAAACCTATAATTGTGAAAATATGATAAAATACAGTAATAAAAAAAAGGCATGCGCGCAGGCGGCTGATGCGATGGAAAAGAGGGGGGACCTGCCTCCGGTAGCGTTACCTCCCCAGCGCAGCCTGGGGCGGACCCCCCAGGTGGTCAGCCCCTTCTCAGCCACAGAACGCCCTCTTACGACAGCACCGCTGAACCAGGTGTGCGCCACATCAGACCGCATGCAAATCTCAAATAAATTTTTTGAGCCTATGGCCTGAGATGGTACAGGCGTAAGAGGAGCAATCTATTTAATGACATGCAAAGCAGGGATGCTTGAAGACAGTTCTGGCTCGGTCTATGGGGTACTCAATCACTTGGGTGCACACACATTATGTTTCCAGACGTTTTGGTGCCAGTTCAATATGAAAGGAAAAAGGCATGTACGGTATGTAAGTGTCAGCACCCACAGGAGCCCCACAGAACAGCTTTGTCAGGTCATTGTCCCGTATGTGGCTGGCTCACTTCTGCATTGCTCTTTCAGGACTTGCCGAGCATGGGCTTTGCACCTTTTCCCTTTGCTAAATCCAGCAGTCCAAAAGCTCATCGATTGTTGATCAATTGATGAACTCTAAATATAAGCTGCACTTGTTGAAGCATCTGCGGTTTTGAAATCGGAGTGTTACCTGTGCGGGCGTTGCAGCTGCAGAGCCTTGTTTTGCAGTCTAAGCTCCTTGCGCATCCTGTGCAATCTTTGCAGTCATGACCGCTTTACAAATGCAAAACTGCAGAAAGAAGTGGAGCTTCTGAGATGCGAACTGGTGTCTTGTGCAGGCGCCGCAGCTGCAGAGCAGCAGTTCTGCTCCGAGGGAGCGCCGTTTTGCGCCGGGGCCGGCCGCGGTTGAGTCGCCGAAATCCCCCGACGTGGATGCTAGCACAAACCCTTTTGCAGACCCCCCGGCCGCCGCCACAAACCCCTTCCTGGACCCCTCCCTGCAGCCCAAGCGGGCCTCCCCTGCAACGCCGGAACCCGGTGCGCTGCATTATCTTTGGACTTGAATTTTTCGTTCAGACCCTTGCATCGTCCCCCCGCTACAGCCAAACTGGAGCAGGCTGCAGTAGGCACGCTCAGCCCTTTGAAAGCTCTTTTTTAGTATTATCATTATGCTTCAGAGACCTTTTGGGAGCCACCAGACGCTCACTGGTCTTGTGGGCAGTCTGTCACGGCCTATCTTTACACCACAAAGTACTCATGTGTCTGCATTCTGTCAATCCTGATACTGGAGGTCAGACACCTTTTCACCAGCCATGACGCTGGCCACAGAAAGCGGCCTGCGTGACTTTGCAACATCCCAAGCCACTGGGCTTTCCTGATACCGTAGAGACCGGTCTAAACCCCGCAGAAAATATTGATTTTCGGCGAAAAAGGGGTGATGATTAAGACCCTATCTCCCATAACGTAAACCCTATGACAATTTTGAGACCAGATTCGGAAAGCTCTCGACAAGCCCGATCCATTTGAGCAGGCGAGGAGGATTCCAAGCCGGGCCCGAACCCGTTCATCCCCAACACGCCGACCTCACCGGAGACACCCAGCGACCTGCGCGCATCGGCATTCTCCGGCAGCCGCAGCCTGCCCGCCGCCGTGCCGGCATTCTCCGCGGCAGAGAGCAGGTGAATGTTTGATTGTCTATCTCTTGGCTGCAGAGCATCTTTGGCATGCACAAAGGTGATGGTGCCTTCATGGACAGAGAGGAAAAGATCGCGGTTGTGGATACTTTTGCTGTTGCTTGCTTCTATTCCAGGCCTCATGTGAAATGACCCATTGTGCATAGATGTTTGGAATGTTTGTGGGACTTGACCTGGCAAGCAGCACTGAAATGGCCACGTCAGCGGACAACTTGCGGCGTGAAGATAAGAGAATGCTGCATGGGATAGGGGGATGGGAGAAGAAAGCATGTGAGATTACTAATGTTGTTGCTTTCTGCAATTGCAGGGCGCAACGGCAGGCGCTGGCGACGCCCGGGTCGGCGCTGGGCGGCTGGAAGCCGCGGGGAAGCCAGCATGCGCGCATCGGCAGCCGCGAAGCCATCTTCTACGATGACGACGCTGGCGCCAAAGCCACGCCCTTCCCCAGCTCAGACAAGTGGGCCTGCCCTATTCACATTTCATTTTAAGTACGGTATTTGTGCTGTTAGTTTTGTTGTGTATCTCTTTTTGTTGCACAAGTGAAACAGATGTAGCTGTTTCTGGAGGTCCAGAAACGATGCATCTTTGGGAATGATCTTGCATTGGTAACATCTTCTTTCTCGAGTGCTGCTTCCATGCATGCATGGGCCTGATGCCGGTGACAGCTTTGGGCCAGTAGCAAATGCTGGACAGCTCCTGATTACTTGTGCTCCCTGACACCGCGTAACGGGGCAATGCGGGGCATAATTGAGACTGTTGGCTGGGAACAGAATTCTGGTAGTTTTGCCTTGGCCAGGGTTGTGCTGGTCTGCGTCCTGGTGCCCGGCAGGATCTCAGGAATGTGACTTCTACTTGTGAGGATTGCTCCCAACCAGGAGAGAGCGGGAATGCCTCTCCTGCAGCCGTTATCGGTGCCCTTAATTGGATTATCAAGGGCATCCTCTTTGCAGGAACATTGTGTGGAATAATATAATGAGGATGTAGGGTTTTAAAGAACAGTAATAGAATGGGATCCCTGATAATGGATGAGAATAAAGGGGGTTGCTGTTGATGTGCAGGGTGGAGAGGGGGGCGACCCCCCGGAAGCTGGCGCACGAGGGAACGCCCTCCTATGCGAGCACCTCTGGGATTGTGAGCTCCGGCCTGCCCTCCAGCCAATCGCTGCCGCCGCAGCGACCCGTCCCCGTCCCCGGCATCAATCCGCCGGCGTTCCCTCCCGCCGCCGCGCCGCGGCCGAGCGCGCAGCCGCCGGCCGGCCCGGCCGCGAGTCGATCAAACGGCGATGCCAAGGTATGATGCACTCTGTGCTCCTTTCACAAGCCAAATGACACGCCCATGTGGTCTTGCTTATCTGCTGGCTTGCGTATCTGCCAGGAGATAGAGTTGAATTAAGAGAGGTATTCTAAGAGGATCTTCTGACAGTCAACGGTGCATCCCGGGGCCCGTAACCAGATGCAAAGGATACTTCCGCGGATCATTAGATTGAGGCGCAGACCTGCCCAAATGCTGAAAGCTGACCTCCTGGTCCTCTTTTGCCGCTGCTGTGCATGCATGCATGACTTCATGACCAATTCTCAATCAGCTATCCCTGTGGCGCAGGATCCCCAGAGCAAAGCAGACAAGGATGTGTCGGAGCTGCCAGTAAAGGCAAAAACCGCTCTCCTGGAAAAAGCCAACGCGCAGGCGCCGCCTCCACAACCAGGTGCAGCTTTATTATCATTCTCCGTTTTGGTCCTACATCCAGGTTTTCACACGCAATGGACGAAACAGGAGTTAGCCTGCGTGGCGCACAGTGATACGGTGAGCAATGTGTGTTTTGCATGCACACTTGCCATTGCAACATAAACACAGGTCAAATTGTCTACTGATACCTTGTGACAGCCTACATCGAGGAAGAGCATCGAGGCAGCGCCTGCAATTTGCCGCTGCAGTGTGATTGACAGCCATGCGTATACAATGTTTCATGTGCCTACCCTTTACCGGCTATTTTTTGTTTTCCAGGACAGTTTGGGCAAACATTAACTCTTGCAGTGGCACCATGCCCTCAATGCTTTGATTGAGGATAAACGTCGTTTCAGCGTTTGCAGACTGCAGCTGCGCCAACCGACAGACCACCAAGTTGCCGGTATAGCATATGCTCAGGCAGAGCAAAACTCTTGCAGTGAAAATTCCACACTGGAAAGTTCCTTAATTGGAATGCAAAGAAGATGCCTCTGAATCGCAGCTGCGCCGGCGGACGGCCGCGCGCCGGCCGCGAAACCGACAGCGGCCGATGCGCCGGCACTAGCGGCGGCGCTGGCTTCCCCGCAGCTTCTCAGCGCGGCGATGCGCGCGAAGCAGAACGCTGACTCATCGGCCAGCAAGGAATCTGTCGCATCATCCCCCCCAATGCTGGCCAGCCCCCAGGTACATCCCAAAAATTCCCACCCTGTCCCCCAATCTTTTCTGCGTTGGTGTCATCAGCAGGGCAGTATTGTCGGGACAACCAGATCCTGGCAAGGACCAGTGTAGGCTTACTAGGCCCTATAGATGCAACGGTGGCCGCTGCATAATCTCTTGATCCTGAATCAGAAAGCATGATAGTTCGTGGGTGCTGATGCAACGTGTACGTTGACCTACTGCTTCAGCAATCCACCGGCATTTGCAATGCGATCAACAGCGCTCTTAGGCCAGAGGTGTCTTGCATATTTGCACGCATTGCATGATATCCGCGAGGCGGTCCTGTCTTCTTACTTGGCGCACGCACTGCCTCGTGAGTTGCATCATCCCTGGTCAGAACATGACGGAGAAGACATTTCACTGATATTCTGATAATTTGTTGAGCAGGTGAGCAAGCTGCGGTCGGCGATTCTGCACAAGGCGCCTCCGCCGTCAGATGCAGGCTCAGTATCTTCCATGGACGAGGGATCTGACGATGAGTCACCCGTGGCGAGCCCGGAGCGGCCTTCGAATATGAGCGCGGGTTTGAAACAGGAGGCGGCCTATTCTGGCTCCGGGTCCCCGCGCTCCCGGACTCCCCAGCCGCGGTCCCCCCTGTCCAAGGTTCTTTCTTCCCTCAGGAGCTGCCGTGCACCTTCCT